TTAGGAGCCCCAGCAACAGCTGGTGGGGGGAGGGGGGGAAGAGACAGAAAGGAATAGCCACGAAAGCAACCAGGACAAGCACCAAGCATCGGCTCCTGGAGACAGACACAAAGGGGCGAAAACCGCGAAATCAGAAGTTGGAGTTCAAGGAAATTGGCATAATAACCCCGAACGTTCCATTGAAGAATAGACATCGACGAGAAGAGAAAAGACAACAACAGAAAACAAGGTAGAAACAAAGGTGAAAGAGGAACATAGCACATTAAAGATCAGGGTCAGGATCAGAGTCAGCAAAGTCAGGGGGGAAGGCCATGGGTAAACTGAGCAAAGACGGAGGGAAGGAAGCGGGAGAACAGACCAGAGGTGGACGGGCGAGGTCCAGAGAAGGGGGAAGAGGAGGAGACAACCGAGAGGAGCAGTCAAGGACAGCAGCAGGAGGAGTAGAAGAAAGAGGGGAGCGCATCTCAGCAAAGGCAGCAACCGAGAGGGAAGTGGGGGCCAAAGAGACCTCCATAGCAGGAACTGGGGGGCGCAACCACCAAAATGGGAGGGGAAGGAGTGAGAGTCAGAAGTAGGGGCCAAGGAAGAAAGCGAAGCCTTCTTACCTGCCAGGGAGGAGGAAGGAGAGGAGCCAGGCTTACGCTTCTGACTCAAAGAAACGGGTGTCCCGGCAACAACGTACTGTACTGGGCAACAGATCCTAGCGTCTCAACAGAAGCAGACACAATGGCCGTTGGGTGAGTGATGGACATCAGCTCACACCGACAGGTGGCGTGGAGAGTCAATAGACTGAGGAGAAGAATGGGAAGAAGGATCAGAGGGAAATAAGGAAGAAGACACAGGAGACACAACAGACTGGGTAGAAAGAAGGGGAACCCCAGACAGAGAGCCATAAGGGGGACCCTTCGGAACAGAACACAAAGGAACAGAGGTGGTGGCGGTGGGCACGTCTGGGTCTAAGGCCCGGAAATGGTTGTGAGACGGAGGAAGGCGGGAAGGACGAGGAGAGGAAGAGCGCAACACGCGAGCATAAGAGACGTTAGCGTAAGGAGGGAGACGGCGAACTTGGCGCCTCGCCTCAGGAAAAGACAAACGTTCCTGGTGCTTCAAGTTGAGGATGGCCGCCTCAAGTTTGTAATGCACACACGCGCAGGAGAAGGCAGGGTGGGCCTCACCACAATTGAGGCAGCGAACCTGGGGAGAAGTGCACTCCGACTTAGAGTGACCCCTCGTCCCCACACACACACACGACAGAGAGAGACAGTACTGGAGCAGCGGAGGATTCCATGCCCAAATCTCCAGCACCTATTGCAGAGCCGAGGAGAGTGAATGTACTCCTGGACAGAGCACCTGGCACCAGCAAGAATGAAAGAGGGCGGAAGGGTCCTACCATCAAAGGTAATCTTCACAACCCGAAGGGGTTGACGGCGACGACCATGAGGGGGACGAGTAAACGTGTTTACCTGGAGGACAGAATGGCCCTGGGCCTCAAGGATATGCTGAATATCATCGTGGCAGTCCTGCAGATTCCGAACACCGGTTGCAACATGGGGCGGGAGGAGAAGAGTGCCAACACTGGCATTCAACCGAGCGTTCTTGGAGACCCGAACAGGGGTCTCGCCAAGGCAGGATAAAGCAGCCAAGCGGGAGGCTGCATCCCGAGAAGGGGCAGCAACGACACGTGAGCCGAGACAGGTGGGGTTGAAGGTAACAGAGGCATCTATGGAATCAACAAGATGCCTATGGAGGGAGAAATCGTCAGGAGGCATAGAATTAAGAGGGAGGAGATCAAAGTATTTGGTCCACGAAGCGGGACCAAACAAGGCTTGATACGTATCAGTACGGGAAGGAATCAAGCGAGGGCGGCTGTGGCGGGGACGACGTTGAGAACCCCCAGAGAGAGGGGGGGGGGGTTAAAAGGCACAGTAGTCACAACGAGAGACTGAGCTGTGCCAGGGGACAAGGTGGTCACCACTGGGGGGCTTGTGGCTCAACCCAACCACAGAGGAGGCAGGGGAGCCGAGGGGAGTAGTCAGGGGGGGACAAAGGAGGAGCAAGGTCAGGGCCCAACGCAGCGGGGGCTACAGAGGCCGGTCTTCCAATACAGTCCGACTTGGGGGCTTGGTCGCCCACCCCACGAGCCTGAGAAGGTACAAGAGGCACATTCATCAACATAAAGACAAAAAGAAACAATTTCATTCACGAATGTGCCCCCACATCTACCATGGAGCCACAATTAGAGGCAGGACACCCAACAAGAAGCTATCGCCGATCATGCCGGGGCCCCCTAGAGGTGCGTCATGAGAATACGCCCCACAAACGCCACCTTAAGAACCGTCAGTCCGTCGAGATCGGGTTCAGTGATGAAAGGGGGATTGACAATAAAAGGTTCCCCTCGCTCGAGACGTCGGGTACTACAGTTCTACGGGTGCAAGAGTATGCCTCCCCAAGCACCCGGGCATCAAAATAGAAGAAGTCCAAAAGAATAACCAAAACAAGCAAAAGGTCGGCAGGAAACGACAAGCAGATAGGAGAAGAGGGGGGAGAAAAACGAAACAGAAGGAAAAAGAAAAGTTGTTCAGCAAAATTAGAGAGGACAGCAGCAGGAGCACAAGGCTACAAAGGGACAGAGGAGTGTCCCAAGAAGCATCACTCCGGCAGCTGCCCACCAAGCCCCCCCCTCATGGCAACAACGACCTGAACAGGGAGGGGGGTAAGTCAGCTAATCATTAAAAGCAAGGCCCTCTTGCTCTAAATTTCTCATTTCGTAGGATACTGTTTGGAATCCACATGAGTGATCAAGTACAAGTTTCTTTCATTTCTATAATTCAATGGTAAGCTATTGTCTCACAAAGACTGAATAACCTTAACTTACTTGCGTTTCTTTTAGTGCTTAAAAATTCCATCATAATATTTGTCTCAATTTCTTATGACTTCAGTTAAATCTTTAATCATTAATATACAAAAGCCTAATTGTCTGACAGACACAATGCTTTCTTCTGCTGTTAGACCAAGAAGAGAATGCCATACTGTGTAATTAAAGTACTATACATTTAAATTGGAACACTATATCCTATCATGCCTCACACCTTCAAGAAGCATCTTGAAATTAATTATCGATATTCTTTGGTATTTTTTTTTTCTAACCATGCTCCAGTGAAAGGCCAAATTTGCCCTTGCTGTTGCCTATTCTATCAATTTGGATAAAAAAATTGAGTCTCTGAATGTACGAAACACTAAAGTTGCGGTCACAACTGCAAGAAAAATGAGAGGTTGGATAACAAGAACCTTCCAAACAAGAGATGCCATGCCAACGATGATACTTTTAAGGCATTAGTGTTCTCTAGTGTGGAATAATGTTGCACACTAACAGCCCCAATTCAAAGCTGGAGAAATTGCTGACCTGGAGAACACGTGAAGATTCTTTGTCACTAGAAACCACTGAATAAAATATCTAAATTATTGGGACCCCCTAAAAACGTTCAATTTGTATTCCCTATAGCACAGGTTGGAGAGATACCTAATGATCTACACTTGGAAAATATTAGAAGAACTGGTTCCAAATCTGCACACAGATATAACATCACATGAGACCAAACGGCATGGCAGGATGTGCAAAAGAGCCCCAACGAAGAGAAGAGGTGCAATAAATATGCTGAGAGAGAATGCGATCAACATCAAATGCTCAGGCCTTTTCAATATTCTTCCACTACACATACAGGACATAACTGGCCAACCTCTCGCAGTGTTCAAGAGAGAACTCGACAAGCACCTTCAAAGGATACCCGGTGACTCATATGTCAGGCTGCAAGCAGCTGCATCAAACAGCCTAGTGGATCAAACCAGCAACCAGGAGGCCTGGTAAGAGACCGGGCTGTGGGGACATTGATCCCAGGAACCTTCAATAAGTTGTCAGGTAGACCCTTTTCTAGGGAAGCCTCAGTTGCTCCCCGTAGGTAAGTGCTGGTCCAGCCAAGCCTTAAAAAGATGCACTGGGGCTCTGAGACACAACCTTGACTACCAGGAACCAGGACCAGAATTTGGCACCCTGAGGAAAGTGGAGTTTGGGGATCAGAGATAAACCCAAAACTAAGAAAACACACAAGGAAGCACAAGCTAAACAGAACAGGCAACTCTTTAAAGAAAATTAGGTACCCATAGATAAATAATTGTTGTTGCAGGGTAAATGTTTAATGGTGATGCACCTGACCACCACCAGATAGCAGCATAGGTTACATGAGGCTCCCATCAGCCCGTTGCTCATGAGCCACCCTAACCAGAACCTTCATCCTTAGGGGAAGAAGGAACAGGGAGGTGGCAGGAAGCTGTCAGAAGAGGCCACCTCATTAAATTCAACAGTTGATTTCCAGGAGGGGCCCCTCAGTAGCTTCCTATAGCTAGTTTAATTGAAAACAGACTTCAGAAACAGAAACAGTAGCATATGACTGGCAGTAAAAATGTTAAAATAAAAGAAATTTCAGGACACTAGAGGAGCAGAAGCCACTCTCAAATGCTTGAGAATGGTGTACAAGAGACCCCTCGCCTCATCAAGGCAACACCCAAGAGAAAGCTCTTTCCTTACCTTCTAGAAAGAGCTACATTCTGGTCCTGATTCCAGGTAGGCAATGGTGGATTTTAGAGGACTAGTGCATCTCCCTAATGCGTGACTGGACCAGCACTTAGCTATGGGAATTAACTGAAGGGCCCTGCCCAGAAATGTAAGTAAGATTAATATTTAAATAAATATATTTTAAATTGACAATATTGCATTTCAAATGCTAACTAGAAGTCAGTATTACTGAAAGCTGTCTAGAAAATAAACTACAGTGTACAGTACATTATTTACCAATATACTGTATAGGCAATTTCGATCAAACTGAAGATGACTGATAATTATAACTAATCACTGATAAAATTATAAGTAATCGCTGATGCTCTTAATTAAAGTTGTAAATTATTTACCTTATTAACTATTTCCAGGATATTTGAAGGAAAAGACATTTAGTTTTCAGGGATTATTTTCAGCCACTTAAGATATATTTTTTCATCAGAGAAATGATGTTAACTATTTCTATATCCAATGTTTAATTAAATAATTCTTATTTTGTGATCATTATCACAATATTTAATAAAAGTTACCATTATAATTATGGATTAAAACCTCATAAATGTATTCTGAAAAGCTATTACAGAAACTTTTGGTCAATTTCTAAGACATTACAGATACTTTATGCACATACTGTAAATATATTAACAATCACAGAAAATGAGAATATCTAGTCTACACAAAACTTAAAATAAATTTCAGCACTTATGTGCTATAATCATATTAATATATATATGTATTTTTTTGTACTGGTAACCCCCATGCAAATCAGAGGTGCCAATACTGTCAAAGATGACGAAATCAAAAACATGCCGATTATTGTGAAGATGGTTTACGACAAATGCCATCTGGATATCTCTCCTTGAAGGCTTTTACAAGATCTTCCTCTAATAAATTGACACCTTCTAGCTGATTTCCAAGTGTGACCCTGAAACAGAAATAAAATGTGTTAATGACCATGAAAACTGCACTCTTCTACTTCACTGGGAATACAGCTTCATACAGATAGGGAAACAGTTTCATACAGATCTGGATGTACAGTACATAAATACATAAAAATATTAGCTTTGAATGTAATGAAATGCCTCTTTGTGGTAGAGCCTTGATGGCTTCTTGTAGTTATCTCAGATTGCTCCATATTAGAAGTCACATCAGTCACTGGAGCTTTGTTTGGCCTACTGAAGACCAGAGCCAGAACCTGGTCCCCAATCAAAGAGGCACAAAGAGCAAATTACATTCCACCATTTCACTGGGAAAACCTCCAGAAAGTTAGAAAAGCTTTACAGACAACTGCTGGATTCACAACACTGAAAGCCTCAATACTGCCAAACAATCCCATAAATGATTCAAGGAAACAAAATAATTTGCTGGAACATGCCAGCCAAACAAGATTTTATCACTTCTGGAAGAGATAAAAACCATCCTAACAAACCAACAAACCTGGAAGGAAGGAAGGGAGGGAGGGAGGGAGGGAGGGAGGGAGGGAGGGAGGGAGGGAGGGAGGGAGGGAGGGAGGGAGGGAGGGAGGGAGGGAGGGAGAGAGGGAGGGAGGGAGAGGGAGGGAGGGAGGGAGGGAGGGAGGGAGAGAGGGAGGGAGGGAGAGAGGGAGAGAGGGAGAGAGGGAGAGAGGGAGAGAGGGAGAGAGGGAGGGGAGGAGGCAAGGTAGGGAAACAGGGGCGGCCACTGCAGCTCTACCAGTATGAGGCATTTCATTACATTAGATACTGGATTTCTCGGGAACCCCCTTGGTGGCTCCCTGTGGCTAAATAACCAGAGAAAAATGAGGGACCAACCAGGGAGGAGGAGGAGAGGCAGCAGATAATAATTCAAAGAGGAGACAATCGGCTCAGAAACCCAGCATAGCCACGCAAAAAAAAAGTTTTCCAGTTTGTCCAACTCAATAGTGCCGATTTCTACTGTCTAATTTGGTTGTACGTCAGTATATATAGTATGGTCCTCAGCATTACTATAAGTACTAGCAAAACAGGAGGATGGGCCATTATATCCCACAGGTGATGACACAAATTAGTAGAACAATTTTGTGCTTCTGTTCCTTCCCAGAACACACTACTCTAACAACCAATGAAGAAAAATATTAAAGGATAGTATGAGGATTACAAACCAGTTTGGTTGAACATTGTGAGGTCGTCCAAAGAGTTCTAATTTCCGTGTTCCTGGTGAGAGACGTTCAATTATGCCATAAATTTCATCTGGCTTGTGACTGGTAGCTCGAACCTCTGCTACAATGACATCTCCATCTAAACCTCGATTTATCTTTGGATTTCCTTTCATGCCAACCTGGTGAATAGAAATCACATACAGTTAATTGTGTGCCCACTATTACAGGCATTTCACACAAAATAAAGAGGGAATCCAAATTATAAGACTACAAATTATTAGTCTGTCACTACCAGTTCTTCCCCTGCTATCTCCTCTAATCTGTCATTCACAGAAAAGGGGGACACTGTTATTGACTTGGGCTCTATAGAGTAAAACAATGTCTAAGTCTGTGCCACTATGTCTGTTGTCAAATTCTTTATATAACAACAACAACATTCATTTATGAAGAGAAACTTGACTGTGGTGATACCAGGCAAAATGCATACACAACCTGTCAGCAGAGAACAACATGGAGTACGTAGAGGTGTCTTGAGACTAAGTGGAAAAAGTGCTCAAGGAGCTAGGTTGAAACGAGGCAGTTGGCCTACTTCGTGTAGCTTCTGAGGATCAACAGCCCTGCAGCCCGGTCTCTGACCAGGCCTCCCAGTTGGTCGTCTGGTAAACCAGGCTGTTGAACGTGGCTGCTGGCAGCCTGATGTGTGAATCACAGCCTGGTTGATCAGGTATTCTTTGAAGGCGTTTGTCAAGTTCCCTCTTGAACACTGTGATAGGCCAGCCAGTTATGCTCCTTCGTGTAGCAGAAGAGTGTTGAAAAGTCTTGGGCCCTTGATGCTGATAGAGTTCTCCCTCAGCATACCTATTGCATTTCCGATTTTCAACGGAGGTATTTTGCATATCCAACCATGCCTAATAATCTCATGTGATGTTATTCCAGTGTTTAGATTTGGAACCAGTCCCTCTAATATCTTCCACGTGTAAATTATTATGTATCTTCCTTGATTGCACTCTAGAGAATACAGATTTATAACTTTTACTCGGTTCCAATGTCCCAATAATTAAGATGACTTAGAGTGAATTCTAGTGGTAAAGGATCTTTGCATGCTCTCTAGGTCAGCAACTTCTCTGGCTCTGAATAGGACTGTTAGAGTGCAACAATATGAAACCCTAGAGAGCACTAGTCTTAAAAAATATCATCATTGGTATGGCATCTCTTGTTTGGAAGGTCCTTATTATCCAACATGTCATATTTCTTGCAGTTGTAGCAGCTACTTTATGGTGTTTTGTACAAGTAAGGTCTTCTGACATGATTACTCCTAGATACTTTACATTTTCTATAGTGTGATTTGATTCTGTTTTATATATGATTTCCGTTTTGAAATTTTCATTTTTCCATAGTGCAGGAGCTGGAACTTATTTTCATTAAACATCATATTATTATCTGTGGCTCACTGAAAGATCCAATTTACATCCGATTGGAGGTTTGCCGTATCCTGTATATTTTCTACTTGCATGAAAATCCTAGTGTCATCTGTAAATGATGATACAGTGCTGAAGTTTGTATCCTTGTCAATGTCTGATATTTGGAAGAGAAAAAGTACCAGAGCAAGTATAGTACCTTGGGGGGACTGAGCTTTTCACAGTAGATGATCCGGATTTTACTGTGTTGATTATTACACTCTGCATTCTGTTCGTTAGGAAGTTGAAAATCCATCTCCCTACTTTTCCAGTAATTCCTTTTGCATGCATTTTGTGTGCAATAACACCATGGGTCACATTTGTAGAAAGCTTTTGCAAAGTCTGTGTATATTTCATCTGCATTTGGTTGTCAGCCAGGGCACCTAAGGCCATGTCAGTGATCTAGCAACTGTGAGAGACAGTTGAATTTTTTCATGCATGAAAAAATGTAAACATAGCTCCAATCTACAAAAATGGTAGCAGAGAAGATTCTCTTTAATTACAGTAATTTAATTACTAATTTAATTATCAACTATACAAGTAAATTATCAGTCTGTATAGTTGATAAGCGTACTAGTCAGGAGACTAGAAAAAATAATTAAAACCAAATAGGTATAATACCTAGAGAAATGACAGTATGATTTTCGAACAAGATACTGTGTAACAAATCTTCTTAGATTCTATGATAAACCCACAGAGATTTTACAGGAAAGAGATGGTTGGGTTGACTGCATTTATCTGGACCTCAAAACCCAGGGTTTAATGTAATGATATGTCTCCTTTTGGAGGAGCCCCGGTGGAAACTGGAAATGCAAATATGTTAAAAGAAATGCAAGGAAATTCTAGTACTGTACCCTGTATAGGTGGTTACAGTGGAATGTACTGAAAGAATAAGCCATGAAAGCCTCTCTACTGACAATTTTAAGGCTACCTGCTCGATACCTGCTTGATGGGGTTGTGGGAGTTCTTCAACTCCCCAAGCCTAGCCCAAGGCCAGGCTCGACTTGTGAGAGCTTGGTCCACTAGGCTGTTGCTTGGAGTGGCCCGCAGGCCCACATATTCACCACAGCCCTGTTGGTCCAGCACTCCTTGTAGAAAATGATCTAGTTTTCACTTGAAGATGTCCACGGTTGTTCCGGCAATATTTCTTATACTCGCTGGAAGAATGTTAAACAACCATGGACCTCTGATGTTTATAGTGTTCTCTGATTGTGAATATGGCACCCCAGCTCTTCACTGGTTCTATTCTGCATTTTCTTCCATATCATTCACTCCAGTATGTTGTTATTTTTCTGTGTAGATTTGGTACTTGGCCCTCCAGTATCTTCCAGGTGTATATTATTTGATATCTCTCTCGTCTCCTTTCTAGTGAGGACATTTGGACAGCTTTGAGACGATCCCATTAATTTAGGTGCTTTATTGCGTCTATGTATGCCATGTATGTTCTCTGTATTCCTTTTATTTCAGCAATCTCTCCTACTCTAAAGGGGAAAGTGAATACTGAGCAGTACTCAAGAAAGAACAGTACAAGTGATTTGTATAGTACAACCATTGTGATGGGATCCCTGGATTTGAAAGTTCTCGTAATCCATCCTATCATTTTTCCGTCTGATGCAATATTTGCTTGGTTATGTTCCCTAAACGTTAGGTCGTCAGACATCATTATTCCCAAATCCTTTACATGCTGCTTTCCTACTGTGGGCACATTTGATTGTGTCTTGTACCTTGTATTATCTTTAAGGTCCTCATTTTTACCGTAGCTGAGTACCTGGAATTTATCACTGCTAAACATCATGTTATTTTCTGTTGCCCAGGCTAGATATGGCAAAGTATTTGAACATAATGAAAGCTAATATAAAATACAGTGAGTACAGCAAAGATTGCATGCAAAGCAAAGAGAACTAGACCTCACTGTCATGTAGACTTAGTTAAGTAAGCAAGAGAAAGAGGTAGAGGTCAGGGTAATGTAATCCTATGACCTCATTTCTTAAGGTCACACTACAAGTTAAGGTCATACCACAGGTTAAAGGGCCTGCGGGGCCGCTCCAAGCAACAGCCTGGTGGACCAAACTCTCACAAGTCAAGTCTGGCCTCGGGCCGGGCTTGGGGAGTAGAAGAACTCCCAGAACCCCATCAACCAGGTATCAACCAGGTACCAGGTACACCCAGTCCACTGCTCACTTCTACCCACAATGTGTCATTTTTACACAAATCTTACAATTTGTTTCTATTAATAATTGATGTCTTGCTTGCCTTTCTTCCAAGCACTTGCAGGCAATTTTTTAAGTGTTATGGCTTGTTTATCTCCCCTATATCTTAAGATAATTATGGAGCCATCCCTAGCAGAGGACATCAAATTTAGCACAGGAATGTGGTAAAATGTGAAGAACATGCTACATATATGATGGGAGACACTGCATGACGTTTCTATTATGCAAACAGAAAATAGCAGATACATGGAATGAAAATTGGAAGAGACAGTTGTAAAGAGCTGTAAGAAAGGCATCTTAAAAAAAAAATCAACATTAATAAATCTTACCAAACAATGTTCCTTCCCATGATTCAGCCAATGTCCTGTTCTACCAGTGCGGATAATTCGCTGCAATTGATTTGTTTTTACCCAAATAATTTCATCAACACGCTCGTAGCCCCAAAGTTTCAGACATTCTCGGCCTAGCTCCATCGCTCTGTAGATCACACACAATTATCAATCCAATAACTTCACTAATAATTTGTAAATATTTGGCCTATACCTATAAAAGTAAAATATTGCATGCAATATACATATATAAAAAAATATTGGCTCCCTAAAGCTATCTTGCTGAGATTACTCCATATTATAAAGTCACTCCATACTAGAATGGCCCCTGCCTCACAGTCATACCCACTTTTGGGATGGGCTTCAGGAGTCAACCTCAAGGAAAAATCCAGAGCTGGAGCCCCTAAGGCAGTTCGTTGTTGGCTTCTACCTCGTTCTGGCAGCTCCTGCGACGGCACTGGAACCAAGTGTATTGGAGTTTGCCTTGCCATTGGATAATTTCAGCGATGTGGAGAGCGGGGACCTGCTGCATGGGTAACAGCTTCTCCACATCGACCTACCCAGGCTTTGCGCCCTGGAGAGGACACTCCAGCCTCGACAACCAGAGCGCAACTCCAAAGTCATCCGAAACCGCAGAATGCCCACTACAGTGGAACCTTGGGTAATGAACGTCCCTCATATCTACATTTGAAACTGTGTATGGAGTCTGCCTCCACCTCATCACTGCCTAGTGCATTCCATTTGTTAACTACTCCTGACACTGAAAAAAATCTTTCTAATGTCTCTGTGGCTCATTTGAGTATTGTGGTACCTCAGTTTTTGTATTTAATCAGCTGATATTATGGGTGCAAGAGTTTCGGTACAAAATCCACTTTAAAATATCTTTCAATAAATGTACAAGTATGATGAAACCTATTAAAATAGTTTTTTCACAAAATATCCTTGTAAAATAGGGGTGCCTCCAAAGCGAGAGTGTCTCTTTAATGCCGGAAAATATAGTACCTTGAGTGGATGGCTTCAGGCATGGGTAAAACTACTGCATCTCTTTGGTGGGTTTCCCGCCATTTTCCAGTCCTGAAACTGGATTTGCCAGACCTCCAGGTCATGCTTGATCTTTCAAGGCATAACCGGTTCATCCTTTGCCCCTTCTTTTAGATGACCATGTTGTCCCAGATCCTTCTCATGCTCGAGGCAGGCCTTTGGATGATCTCCCTGGACATCCGAGACACATACTGTACTGGCACCTCCCTATAAATCTGAGGTTCAGGGATTGGTTAGGCTCTGGGGTGGCAGACTCTTTCAGGTCCTCCCATTTAGGGTCAATCTAGCTCCATGCATGTTTACACATATGGCTCAGGTTGTGGTGGCCCATCTCCAGTTGCTTGTTCTGGGTTCTGGCCTACCATGAGAACTCGCTGGAGTGGAGCTCCAGTCCGCATGTCTACTAGCCTGGTTCTTTCCCAGCTCACCAGGTTCACGTTCCTTATGAACTGGCGCAAGTCCTAGTTCGTTCCATCTCAGGTTCGGACTTTGATGGGCTTTGTTTGGGATTCTCAGTCAACTTTACTTTCCCTTTCTTGACAGCCTTTATCCGGCTACAGTGCCGCCATCTGTCGGTGTTGAGCTGGCCCCAGGTAACTCTGTGGTTACTCGAGCAGTTGTGTGAGTCTCAACTTTGCCACTCTGGTATATCCCCTGCAAAAGATTTGACCTCTGGGGCTGATTTGGTTTCTCCGGGGCAGCCCCCTTTGCCGCTGCCTTGAGTAATGGGTGCGGGCTACGTTGACCTTTCGCCGGATACCGCATCACCAGTTTCCTCTTTAAGCTTCTCAGAGTTTGGTGCCCTGGCACCATCCTCCACCCTCACTTGATGTCTTCATGGACACCACAGCTCTCAGTTGGTGCTTTGTGGCAGCGCTCACCAGGATGGTCAGGGTCATTGGTTTTCCTTCCTTTGTCATATGCACAGTATAGTTCAGGAGCTTGAGGGTATGTGGCATGTGCTGCAGAAAATTTGGATTCATCTCGAATCCATGGCCCAGCTCCATTTGGACACCTTTTGTATGCGGCGCCATTCCCCGATTGCATGGCCCTCGAGGTAAGACACTTTTTGGATGGATTGATCGAGTTGGGGAGGATTCTTTTACCTCTTTTCTCTGGTCCAGCTATTGCTCTAGGTCCTGGCACAATTGGAGTCCTACATGGGAGAGGGTGATCTATCTGGCTCCTTGGTGGCCGGTTCAGTCTTGGTTTCAGGCAGTGTTTGCTCTGGGTTTGGACACAGAAGGCCAGCCCAGTGACATACTTCGCTGGTTCAGCCTTCTCGTCTGATCTTTGCATATGGAGTTTTTGACGCATGTTTATTTATAGTGATCAAGTGGTTATGTTGATGGTGTCCTACCTACAATCCTCTTTGAGGTGGCAGTATGAGGTGTCATGGCACTCACACACTTGTTTCACACTATGTCTCTTCGTAGCTCTTCTTCAGTGTCTGAACAGGTGGTTCTCTCCTTTCTATCTCTACTTTTTCTTGATTGGCATCTTATGCTACATACTGTTGCCTTGTATCGTGCAGTATTAATGGAACCACTGCACCTTGCGTCAATACTACTTTAGTTCCATTTTGCAAGCTGTTTTGTACATTGTTTCACCTCCGACCTGGTCATGTACCACCTGAGCCAGCTTGGTCTCTGCACCCTGTTCTTTCCTTTCTTTCATTGGCTAATTTTACGGTGTTCCCTTCAGTTCAGGATTGTTTTTTTTTTCTGGGGGGAGCCCCGTCGGCTCCCCGGAGCTATCCCAGGCTGATATGCTAATGTCAGACTTTGGCATCAGTCATGTGTATGGAGTTCTTAGGCCTACCGGGGACCACGGCCAGAACCGGGCCCCCTCAGAGAGGCAAGGGGAGCAATGGCCTATAGAAGCCCCCGTGTAGTTGGAAGCATTCTATGTCTGCCATCGACTGGAACAGGCACCCAGAAAGGTAAGCGCCCCAAAACAAACCCCTATTCTGGTTAAAATTGCTACCTAAAACCGAACTAGTGGATAGAACTCCCCAACCGAAAACAAGCAAACTAGTGTGACGTCACACACTGCCGCGCCGCTGTCTGCGCAGCTCCCCCCTCCCCGGGAGGGGGAAGGGGGAGCCCCAGACCCCCCGCGCCGGCTACCCACACCTCAGTTCTTGAGGAAGGCTGATACTATAGGCGATGGTCGTGTGCTCTGGCTCCGGTGTCGCTACTGCACTGTGCTTTGCGTGTGGTGTTAGCTTTTTGGGGGTGCATCATGTTTTGTGTCCGGTTGCGGCGCTTCGCCGTTATTTGCGCGCCACAGCTTCTGTGTCCGGGGACGCGCTGTGGGTTGATCCGGTTTCCCTTCTTCCCTGTTCGCGGGTTCGGGTCTCTCAGGTCGTCCGCAGGGTTATTAGGTCCAGCCAGCCTGCGGTCTATCCCCGTGCCCATGACGTTCGTAAGTTCGCGGCTCTTGCTGCCGTCTTTGGGAATATGTCTTGGTCTGATATTCGGGCGCGGGGATTTTGGCGGTCGAACAGGGTCCTGGCTGCTCGTTACCTTGTGAATGTCCCTGGGCCTCGTCGGGCCTGTGTTGCTTTGGGTCGGCGGTTGCAGCCAGTTGTCTCGGCTTCGAGTTGAGGGGTGAGCGACGACCGCCTCCCGGGTAAGTCCCTCTTTTTCTGTCTGTGGGTAGTTAGCTCCAGGGAGCCGACGGGGCTCCCCCCAGAAAACCAGCGTTGAATGTAATGAAACGCCATTTTCTGGGTGAGTCCCGGAGGCTCCCCGGCATCCCTCCCTCCCTCCGGTCGGCGGTTTTTCGCGTTTTTGACATCCAGCCTCAAGAACTGAGGTGTGGGTAGCCGGCGCGGGGGGTCTGGGGCTCCCCCTTCCCCCTCCCGGGGAGGGGGGAGCTGCGCAGACAGCGGCGCGGCAGTGTGTGACGTCACACTAGTTTGCTTGTTTTCGGTTGGGGAGTTCTATCCACTAGTTCGGTTTTAGGTAGCAATTTTAACCAGAATAGGGGTTTGTTTTGGGGCGCTTACCTTTCTGGGTGCCTGTTCCGGTCGATGGCAGACATAGAATGCTTCCAACTACACGGGGGCTTCTATAGGCCATTGCTCCCCTTGCCTCTCTGAGGGGGCCCGGTTCTGGCCGTGGTCCCCGGTAGGCCTAAGAACTCCATACACATGACTGATGCCAAAGTCTGACATTAGCATATCAGCCTGGGATAGCTCCGGGGAGCCTCCGGGACTCACCCAGAAAATGGCGTTTCATTACATTCAACGCTGGTTTTTTTTGAATAGGGTTCTGGTATCTAGGTATCTTGTTAATGTTCCTGGTCCTCGGTGCCCTTGTGTGGCTTTGGGTCATATGTCATGGCCAAGTGGCTCATCTTAGTGCTACCTGCAGTACTCTCTCCTCCCTGATAAGTGTCCATAAGTGCCTAACCTAACCAAACCTAAGCTTCAAGGAGGCACAAGGGGGTTCCCCCAGAAAATCAGCATCCAGCATTGAATGTAATAAGATGCCAATTTCAGAGTCAGCCCAGGTGGCTCCCTGAAACTCTTCCTTTCCCCAGGGAGTCAGAGGTGTTTCCATCATCTAGAACTGAGGGTGGATCAGCTGACTGACCCTGGGCTGCCCCCCTCCTTCCACCAGGGAAGATGGGGTGAATGAGCTCACGTTAGTTTCATGAGATTTCGGTAGTTTGTTTACATTGTTGGGGATTATTCTTTCTGCAGTTCTTGAGGCTGCAGTCTACCATATAACCAACAGTGGTCTGTTTTTATTTTCTGACTTTCTGAGTGCTTCCCTGGTGATGGCAGACATGAATAAATTCATAGTAATTTTATCATATTTGCCACTGCCTCCTGCATCCCTTTGGATGAGGCCCAGTTCTGGTGTGTGGTCCCTGGAAAACCTAAAAGATGGTGACCTAGGAAGACCTAGGTGCCACGACTGATGGCACCTAGTAGTTTGGCACATTATCATAGATACTAGCTTCAGGGAGCCACCAGGGCTCACCCAGAAATTGGCATTTCAATACATTAAAATCCATTTTTTTGGTTGGTATAGCTCAACTTCTGCTAACCTGCTACTCAATAAACCTAGACAATACAATAATTGCAAAAATAGAGTAAGTGGATTAATGGAATACAGAAAAAACTAAGCTTAAGACTTCCACACCTGCCAGTGACCCACAAAAAGATGAGTCCTTCATCTTGCATTATAGGAATATTAAGCTGTCTCATCTCATCATCTGACATTGTGCCATAGGGAAGTTCCATGTGGATATCCCACGGAGGATCTGCCATAATCACAGCAAATTTTCCTGGAAAATTTAAGTGTATGAAGCATTTTACTGAAAATAAAAACCTATATTGATGCCAATAAAACTGAAGTTATATTTGAGGATGAATACAAAAGAAAAGTAACCACAGTGACAAACAACTCACCTTAGGTTACCATCTATTACTTTAGAATTTTCTCTATACTCTACACTATTCTATACTGTAATCTGGGCTTTACTACTGTATGCCAACAAAGCAAGTTAAAGAGACATAATGAACAAAAGTCTAAGTTTTCACTTTGCTAAGGAACATTGAATATTGCAATCTCAAACACAGGAAATGTGAAAACCAAAAAACTTAAATAATTTAAAAATACTGCTTTGTACAGTACTTGGATGAGGTTCTGGGAGTAGTTCTACTCCCCAAGCCCAGTCCAGGGCCAGGCTTGACTTTAGAGAGCATGGTCCAACAGGCTGTTGCTTGGAGCATCCCACGGTCAGCAGCCCACATATCCATCACAGCCTGGTTGGTCCAGCACTTCTTGAAGAAAATTATCTAGTTTTATCTTGAAGATGCCCACATTTGTTCTGGCAATATTTCTTACACTCACTGGGAGAATGTTGAACAACCATGGACCTCTGATGTTTACAGTGTTCTCTGATTGTGCCTATGGCACCTCTGCTCCTCACTGGTTGTATTCTGCATTTCCTTCCATATCATTCACTCCAGTATGCTATTTTATTGTGAAGATTTGGAACTTGGCCCTCCAGTATTTTCCGTGTGTATGTTATTTAATACCTCTCTCATCTTCTTTCCAGGAAGTAGATTTGGAGAGCTTTAAGACAATCCCAATAATTTAGGTGCTTTATCGTGTCTATGTATGCCATATACGTTCTCTGTATTCCCTCTATTTCAGCAATCTCTCCTGCTCTGAAGGGGACAGCAAGTATTGAGCAGTACTCAAGACAGGACAGTACAAGTGATTTGTATAGAACAACAATTGTGATGGGATCCCTGGATTTGAAAGTTCTTGTAATCCATCCGATCATTTTTCTGGCTGATGCTATATTTGCTTGGTTATGCTCCCTAAACGTTAGGTCTTCAGACATCACTCTTCCCAGATCCTTTACATGCTGCTTTCCTACTATAGGCAGATTTGATTGTGTTTTATACCCTGTATTTTTTAAGGTCATCATTTTTACTATACCTGAGTACCTGGAATTTATCACTGTTAAACATCGTGTTATTTTCTGCTGCCCAGTCAAAAACTTTATTAATATTTGCTTGTAGTTTATCAATGTCTTCAACAGAAGTAATTTTCATGCCGATTTTTGTGTCATTTGTAAAAGATGATACAAAGTTGTGACTTGTATCTGTCTATATTTGATAAGAGAATATGGAAAAGCAGTGATGCAAGGACTGTACCCTGAGGTACAGAACTTTTAACTGTGCTTGGACTTTATTTGATTTGATTGACTTACTGTTTGTGTTCTGTTCGACAGAAAATTGAATATCCGCTGTCCTACTTTACCTGTTATTCCCATTGACCTCATTTTGTGTGACCATTTTGTGTGACCATTCCATGGTCACATTTATCAAATGCCTTTGTGAAGTTCATGTATACCACATCTGCATTCTATTTTTCTTCTAATGCCTCAGTAATATTGTCGTAGTGGTCAAGTAGCCGTGAGAGGCATGATCTTCCCACTCTAAATAGATGTTGGCCTGGGTTGTGAAGGTCATTGCCCTCCATGAAACTGGTAACCTGACTCCTGATCACTCTTTTAAATACTTTTGTTATGTGGGATGTTAGTGCAACTGGTCTATAATTCTTATCCAACGCTTTGCTCTCTTCCCTGTGTAGAGGCGCTATATCTGCTGATTTAAGTGCATCTGGTATCTCCCCATGTCCAGCTCTTCCTCCACGCTATACCAAGTGCCTGTGCTGCTGACATTTTGCATTTCTTTATAAATACAGTATTGAATTCCATGAGTCTGGACCCAGGACTGAGTGCATGGGCATGTTGTCAATTTCTCTTTCAAAATCTGAAGCGTTTGTGTTGATATTAGTTGTATTTTCAGGGGGTTTAGATATCACGCATAAAGAAGCTGTCCGGATCTTCCACTTTCATGCTGTTTATTGGTGTACTAAAGTGTCCTCATGCTGCTTTTTTAAGATTTCACTACATAGTAGTATCATCTCAAAATTTCAAATTCATATTGATTAGATGGAAATTACTGCACATGATGCCAACAATACTGGTTTCACTGCATACCCACTCTAGAATCCATTTTTTTTTAAGAATCCAAATTTTGGACAGAAATATTCATTAGATCTACTGTTTAGAGCAGCGCTTCCAGACATTTCTGGAGGAAGCCTCTTCTGGTTCCCTGAAGCTACAATCCCAAGATTGCTTCATACTAAGAGGTCACATCAGCCATGGATAGTTCAGTTTGGCCTACTGAGGACCAGAGCCATAATCTGGCCCACAATAGAGGCACAGCGAGCAGGTAACAATCCACCACCTCACCAGAAAAAGCCTCCAGAAAGTCAGCGCAGCTTTACAGATCATTGGAGGGTTCACAGAAAATGAAGCCTCAAAAACTGCTAAACAACTACCACAAACAGGTCAGAAACAACATGGGATTCACTCAAATGAGCTTGAAACTAATTACATTATTACCAATTACCATCACAAGGTACCCCAGCCCCGGCTCCCAAAGTCACTTCTATTCCTGACATGGGTGTCACCACACCAACTTGAAGTGCTATCAATCATGCCAACTCATGGGCAAGCCCCAAAACATCAAGCTAAATGCTGGCCATCCTTGGACTTTCTTATCCTGTGGGAGCCTATTTGAGCTTTTCCTATTTTTAGTGTAGCTTCACATGCATGTTTTCATTCCAGCTTGTTGTGTGGGTTTGGTTCTTTGGCCATTTCAGGATTCAAGTACACAGGGTTCTCTTCTTTGTGTGCCCATTAATGATGCCCTTGCACAGCCAGAATCTCTCTTTTTATGGTGTGCTCAGGTGTTCGTTCCTGTGAGGCAAGCCCACCAGTGTGGGGACCCGCACCTTATGCTGTTCAGAGGTCTTGCTTCCTCTGGTGGGCCCTTGGCATTTTTTGGGTGCACTGGGGGTTTGCACACTTGTTTACACGGGATGCCTCTGTTGCCTCACATGGCTTGGTGGTTAGGCAACGCTTGGTGGCTGTTTCACGGCAAGAAGTCCCAGTGCCTAGGGTACCCACTTTTTTTTCCTTTCGGCCTTGGGAATCCCCTCCGGTCTCTGTTGTAGACCTTGTGGAGCAGCTCAGCAAGGCCGGTCTTGCTGTTTGCGAGTTTGAGGGATGCTCATCATCTTTGCTACCTGTTGATGACTGTTCTTTCTGTTCCGCCATGCTGCATGTTGGGTCGTTTATGTTTACAACCCTGAGTCATATGAGATATGTTCTCATCGGGTCTCTGCCTTGATGGATTCCACTTCCCAGTTGGAGGCTTTTCAGGCAGCTGCCGCTTTACAGGCTAGGTATGCCTATGTAAAGCAATCACAGCATATTAATCGACTGGAAGACCCTGAGTTAGCCTTCTACCTACCTACCTGTTAATGATTTCAAGGGGTGAATGTCCCCATGGCCTAGGGCCAGATTCAAGAAGCAGTTATGCAAGTACTTACAAATGTGTACATCTTGCCTCAAACTTTGATATCTTTAATTAAATTTATTAAATAGTTTACAAGCATAAAAACTTACCAATCAACTGTTGTTGTTATAAACAGCCTCCTGGCTGTTTATAACAACAATGCTGGTGCTTTGGAGCTTATTAACTGTTTAATAATTGTAAACAAAGCCGGCAAAAATTGAGAAAACATGTACAGGTTCACAAGTGCTTGTGTAACTGCTTCGTGAATCTGGCCCCTGGCTCTGACCAGGCCTCCTGATTGCTGGTCTGATTAACCAGGTTGTTAAATGCAGCTGCTCACAGTCTAACGTAGGAGTCCCGAGCTGGGTGCTCCTTTGAAGGTGCTTATCAAGTTCTCTTTTGAACACTGCGAGAGGTTGGCCAGTTACGTCACGTACGTGCAGAGGAAGCATTGAAATGTCTTGGGCTTTTGATGTTCATTGAGTTCTCTCTCAATGTGCCTACCACCTGCTTTTCAGTGGGGATATTTTGCACATCCTGCCATGTCTTCTGGTCTCAATTTAGCACAAATTTGCAAGTTGGTACAAAATCACAATAGTAGTTGCTGGTATTGCATAATGTATCAAAAGGTACTAAACAAGACTCACCTAGTATAGACATATCTAGAAACCTAAGATCACACTGTATCCACTGTGGGGGAAATAAGATAGACCTTTCCTCTGGGCGTGGGCGCTCTTGAGGCATAATGATGGAGGTCGGCTGGTCTTGCTGCTCTTGTCCAGATACACCTGCATAATCAACCTCATAATGAACATAACTGAAATATAACAAATGAACTCATAGGATTGCATCTAATTTATATTCTTGCAAAATGTACCCTTATGCTAGTAAAGTACATAAATAGAAAAAAACTCATTTTAGCAACATCTCATTTTAACTAGACTGCATTAACACAGATTTAAAATATGTTGAACTGGCCTAAAAAACCAGCATTGAATGTAATAAAATGCCAGTTTCTGGGCGAGCCCCAGAGGCTCCCAGAATCTATCACACTGATTAAGTATCATACTACTAGTAGTCATCCATCATGGAGTTCTATTGGCCTACCGAGGACCATGAGCCACAACCTGGCCCCCTCTAGAGAGGCGGAGGAAGCGATGGTCTATGAACACTTTACATTTAAAGTTTACCATCTCTGCTACCACCAGAGAAGCACTAAGAAAGATAGGCAAATCAAAATAAACAACTGCAGGACTTAAAATATTAGATCGAAGCCTCAACATTGCCAAAAGAACCGCCAAACAACAAAAAAAAACAAAAATTTTATGAAACTTGCCCCCCTCAACCCTGCTAGTTTGCCCCACCTCCCCCATCATTTGGGAGAAATGAGCCACCCTGGGTCAGCTAAGCCCCCCCCCCCACTGTCCAGCTCTATAATGATAAAACCCACCAACAACCTGGATGAGGGAGGGTGTCAGGAAGCCTCCAGGGATCACCCAGAAACTGGCATTTCATTACATTCAACGCTGGCTTTTTGAGGGGAGACCTGTTGGCTCCCTGAAGCTAACTACCCCACAGAGTAGGACAAAAAGGGGCACTTACCAGGGAGAAGCAGCAACAAAGGAATCAAACTGAAGAGGAGATCAATGGCTGTGACACTCCCCAAAGCTGGTTTTTTGTGATCAAAATGTTAATCAGTTCAGAATTAAAACAAGACTCAATTGTTTCTCTACAAGCACAAGTTAAAGTGTTCAAAATGTAGTATAAGCCAACTTCATAAATGTGCCTAAGATCCTAAGGGTAATGAAAGACAATTTAGTGAATGCATCAGTTCCATGCTGATGAGACAATGTACAGGAGAGGCAATGCTGTACGGTGGAAATAACCTAACGGTAGTTTGGCAACTTGCCAGGGCCCGGCTTTGCAATCTGTCACCAAGTTATACTTGGGAGAGGTTTTGGATTTTATTAAGGTAATGCACTTTTTTTGTCTACACTCTGAGCTGGAATGAATATTCTCCAGTGTCTTATTAGCACCAATGTAATCTGTTGCAAGGGTAGTTTGAATGTTTTTCCGTAGTGTTTGTGTGAAATATCGACTTGCCCCATTGTCCAAAGGTGAACAGAAGCTTGCCTTAGGAAGCAACAGAGTAGGCTAACTTTGAAGTGGCTGACGACCTGAGAGACCCAAGCCCTGGAACAGGGAAAGAAATCGGATGAGCCCATGGCGTGCTCACATCCCCAGAGGCCGAGGTGCACAGGTAACAGCACAGAGCTGCAACCGGACATAACACATGATGCACCCCTGGCCTGACCAACAAGGCATCAATAAACCACAAACCCCTCCGGAAGCCCGCCGTCTCATTCTTCACCAGTAAAAAGGAAGAAGGCTGCAACCGAACAAAACATCCATAAGGACCAAAAGAGCAGAAACCTCTGTGCCAGAAAGAGAAGGAAAATAATGAAGGGAGAGAAAATGGCAAAAAGACCACCATGAAACCTCTCACTGTCATTGAGAAGACAGCCACAGGTGGGACACCATGAAACCAGCCACCTGTTCACCATACAAATAGCAATAAATACGTGTCAAAAGGCCAGACTCATAATGCGGAAGAGAAGTTCGAACCAATGAGGTAGAGCACTTGCCCGACCCTCTGATAGAGGCGGAGCCGTGAAAATACGCCCGGGTTCTGACACTGAGCAAGCAGTGCCTGAAACAAAGGCTGGGCCAGTCACCAAGGAGCCAGAAGAATCACTCTCCCCCTGTAAGACTCCAGCTGTGCCGGCACCTGAAGCAATAACAGGACTGGGGGAAATAGGCAATGCACCCCAATTTTGACCAGTCCAGCAGAAAGGCATCCACCATGAGGGCCTCGCAGTCGGGAAACATGCTGAGACCCCACTGACGCAAAGAAGTTGACGTCCGGGCACCCGACCGCCTGGCAAAGCCAGAGGAAGGAACCGTCATCGACTGTCCATTCCATGGAAAAAGGAAGGAAGCAAGACAGATCATCGGCCAAGATGTTGGACACTCCCCGAACAAGAACAGCGCAGAGAAACAAATCCTGAGAACTCAGCAGAAGAGCTATTCGAAGTGACCAACACTAAAGAGCCATGAACCGAAGAGACCTTCCTTTTCCCGGTTAAGACAATGAACCATGGGTGAACAGTCTGAATGGAGCCAGATCACCAAGCCCAGAGGAATCCAAACCTTCCGCAGCACCTGCCATACTGCCACAACTCCCGCACCTCGTTGAGAGCCAAACAAAAAGCAATCACCAATGACCCTGGCCAGACTGGTAAGCACTGGTCACAAAGCCCCAACTGACAGCAAAGGCATCCGTGAAGACATCGAGGGAAGGAGGAGGAAATCACCATGGCACCGAACACTGAAAAAAACGAAGAGAAAGCTGGAGATACAGTAACCAACGCAGGGACACCGGGGACCAAACCCAGTGATCGCGAGAGCAGAGAAAGGGGCCACCCCAAGGTAACCAGAAGAGCCTCCAAAGTCAACCCTGCCCAAAGAGTAAACCAGAAGGGCGAAGTGCAGACTTCCGAGCAGCTGCTCGAGGAGTCCCCCTCAACACCAACAGACGGCAGGACTGCAGCCACAGCAAGGCTGCAGGAGACTAGGAAAGCGATGCCGACCAAGAATCCCAAGTCAGGCCCAACCAGGTCCAAAACTGGGATGAAACCAACTGGGACTTCCTCCAGTTTACCAGGAACCCGAACCCAGAAAAACTGAGAAAGAACCAGATCCCTGGCTAGCAGACAAGCAGACCAGTTGGGAGCCCAAACCCTCCAGTCATCAAGGTAGGCCAATACCTTCAGACCTAACAAACGAAGACAGGTCACCTCGACCTGAGTCAAGCACTTAAAAACACATGGTGCCAGAGTCAGCCCGAATGGAAGAGCCTGAAAGCAGTAAGCATGTCGCCCCACCACGAAACCTAACCAATCCCCGAACTCTGGATGTATAGACATTTGCCAGTATGTGTCCTTGAGGTGCAGGGAATCATCCAAGTGTCTTGTTCAAGGACGAGCCAGACCCGAAACAAAGTAGTCGTCTTAAATGTAGGGCAAGGAATCAACCGGTTCATATTATTGGGCAAGAGCCCATACTAGGTAATATGGCACCTAATCAGTGATGATAGCTTCAGGGAGCCGATGAGGCTCCCATCACAAATATTACCGGCACAAAGGTAAACATCTTCAAGAAGCACAAGTTCTTTTAAGAAGCGCCAGACCAACAGTGTTGTACTGGATATGTGGGCCAGCAGGCTGCTCCAAGCAACAGCCTGTTAAACCAAGTTATCACAAGCCAAGCCTGGCTTCAGGTCAGACTCAGCAAGTAGAATAACTCTCGAAACCCTCTCCAGGCATGCTCCAGGTAAACACCTATAGATGATTATGCTAGGCACATGCAGTTTGAGACCAATAGACAATCAGGGTCCATGCAAGAAGTGAGGTATAAATATAAGTACCTGTATCGGTATATGACCCCACAGGATTAAATAGTCCAGGATGGTCAGTACTTCTCAGAGCTTTGCTGTCTTGTTTTCAAATGTTCGCTTACCTTTTGAGATATATACAAGTGTTACATTCTTGTACAGCCACTAGTACGCGTAGCGTTTCGGGCAAGTCCTTAATCCTATGGTCCCTGGAATACGATCCCCTGCCGCGAAGAATAGTTTTTTCATCCAAGTACACATTTTACTGTTGCGTTAAACAGAGGCTACAGTTAAGGAATTGCGCCCAGTAAATCCTCCCCGGCCAGGATACGAACCCATGACATAGCGCTCGCGGAACGCCAGGCGAGTGTCTTACCACTACACCACGGAGACTGGTAAATGCATAATGCTATACCTAGTTGTCATCTGTTTTGATTTGCCCCCCCTTTCTGGTGGCCTTTCCTGATTAAGGTCATTTACACTCCATTGCTCTTTGTACCTCTACAGAGGATGCCAGGTTTTGCCCTCTGGTTCTTGGTAGGATTATTTATGACTCACTAAGGCCTGTGGGGATTGAATTAGGTAGAGCTTGCCTCAAAGCAAACACAAAGAAGCCACCTATGGATCCCTCCCAAAAATGTAAAACTAACATTTTTTATAAAATGCTTCTATGGTCTACAAGGTTAGCATAGCACTTAATGAAATGTAGTTCTTACCGGCAGGTGTCCATGTGAAAACATGTATTAAGAAAGGAGCAGTCACCTAAGGATTCATCTGTGTGTTTTTGGATGATTTTACGAAAATGAAGGCGGCCACACTGATGTCCACTCTTCTTTGCTGCTCTCTCACACTCCTCTTTGGTACCATGTGGACAAAATTCTTGAACTTTTGCCCCTAATTATATGAAATTAAAAATGATAAAAATTATTATAATGAAAATAAATACTGCCCATGCTAAACATCAGTCTTCAAAATAACTTAAGTTCACCACTTTTTTATTTACAATACTGTACTGTGCCAATATTCCAATCACAATTCCCCAAAGTGGAGTTGCTTTACAAAGAAAGTAAAGGCAAAACAATTCAAATTATGGTAAAAAAAATTTATAATCCATTGACTTTCATTATAGTTAACACAAATGATTACAAAACTTCTGCATTTTTTCCACACAAACCTTTTGAATGTGTGAGATTCATTTATATTTATTCCACTTACACACACAGCTGATCTTTACGTAGTCAACACACACTTTCTTTAGACACAATCCTATGACACACCATCATACTTTCAAAAGTTCAGTTAAATACATCAGTTGTAAGTAGTTATTTATCTCTCATACCTAACATACAACTACTGGTATCATGTATGTTTTTAACAAATAAATGACAACTCTTATATTATATGTAATACACAAGCCACAAAATTTGTCAAATTCATCACTCTGAAGATGAATGCATTGTTTGGAGGATTAACAAACTTTATTACAGATTACATAGACAGTAAAGTCTAGATACCAAAATATGATTTATATAGATGTGATACAGCAAACAAGTGAAATGCTGGAGCAGGTTTGTATATTAATTATTATTGTATTTTAATTATTAAAAGATAAATTTGTATACTTAGAATTCTTAAAACTCCACAAATTAAGTGGTAGAAGTATTGTCATTAACCCTTAAATTGCGCATCACGTCATATGACGTGTTGGACGTTGTTCCAGTCAACTGCGCATCACGTCATATGATGTGTTGGAGTACTACGCAAGATTTAAATGGCCCGCAGATACACGGGGTTCACCACACCTTCATCAGGGCTCTTGTAAACAGACGCCATTTTAAAAAAAAATCGTGGGCCAAACTCTCAGGTGTTATTGGCCTCAGTATTGAGTGAGCAACCAAGCCTGACGCACGCAGCATGAGCTAACAGCACTGCTGTTCAGCTTATGACCACAGCATCGCCTAAAAATGCCAAAATATACTTGTTCATGCTATTATGTAGCGATGATATTATTACAGAAGACCCCTGACTGTGATAAAACTGACCAGGGTTCTGATAATAGCAGGATTGTGGTGATATTTAGCGCTGTGCTCCATGGAGGGAGGAGTAATGCTGTGGGAGGGAGGGTGGTGGCAATGTCTTCTGACTGTGTGTGGCCATCTTTTATTGACTGCACTCACCATACCAGCTTAGTGGTTCGCTATGATGAACACAAATGTAGATACTTATATATAACGTGTGTATAGAGGGTATACAGGCATACCTCAGAATGCGAGTTTAATCCGTTCCTGGAGACGCCTCGCCTTCCGAAAACTCGCATTCCGAAGTTAATTTCCCCATAAGAAATAAAGGGAAATGAATTAATCCGTTCCTGACTACCCCAAAAACCCCACATCAAACTAAATTTTTATACCTAATTTACCTAATTCATCTAAATAAACCTACAAAACTATGTTCCAGTTATTACTTACCTTGCTGTCGAGTGCTGTAGGCGTATGGAAGATGGTGAGGAGGGGGGAGGAGGAGAGGAGTTACTGTTTGGAAGGGGAGTCCCCTTCCATAATCACATCACATAACCCCATGCCTTGTAACACTATGGATACCACTTCTCTTTCTAAATTTTTCAAACCAGCCCCTGCTTGCCTTAAACTCTTTCTTATCTGCATCACTCGTTGCAGGGGTCTTCTTTAGAAGGTCTTCGTGCAACACCCTGGCTTTCTCACAAATAATGGCCTCCGAAACACTATCACCCCTCAACTCCTTGTCGTGTATCCAAATTAATAACAACTTTTCCACTTCTTCAAGTATTTGTGGTCTTTGTGCCGTTAATGTTCTTACTCCTTTTGCCACATTAGCACTCATAATCTTATTTTTCTTCTTAAGTATAGTGCATATTGTTGATGTGGCTTTGTTGTACTGCCTACAAAGTTCAACAACACGTGTACCGTTCTCATGCTTCCGAATGATCTCTTGTTTCTCCTCTATTGTCATCCTCACATGAGCTTTCTGGCCTTTATCCTTACCACTGGCTTTCTTGGGACTCATGGTGAGATATATAATAACAAATTGTATAGACAAATCACCAAAAATCCAACAAAACACTGAAAATCCGCGACAAGAATTGATGTGGGGGTAGTCACTGAGCGCGAGACAATGGTAAACTGAGGGGCGGCGGGGCGGAGGGGCGACGATCGCTGAACCACCACGCGCTAGGTCGGCTGTACGCGTATCAACAAACTCGCGTCCAAACTCGCCTCCCGAAGTAACCATCGCCTTCCGGGACAAATTTTTGGAGTAAATACACCTCGCCTTCCGAAAACCTCGCATACAGGGACAATCGCATTCCGAGGTACAACTGTAAATAGCAAGAGAAGGTTTGGAGCCGCCATTTTGGTGAGGGCGGTGGCGTCGTCTGCACGACGCCACCGTGCAGACGACGGTGTTGTTTGCTGGTTACCACGATGGTCTTTGGGCACCATACCAGTTTATTTGTACAAGTATTGTGAATAAAACAGGTAGATATTTATATATAATGTGTGTATATAGCATAATAACACCACACAGTATTGTTGGAGGAGAAATATTAGTGCGTCTGGCCTTGAGGGCGGCAGCCATCAGCTGACTGTATGCGGTCCTACGTCCTTGTGCCTTTACTCACCATACAAGCTTAGATGTACAGTTATGGTGAACAAAACATGTAGATACTTATATATGACGTCTGTATATAGTGAATTATAGCAAAAACAGTATTGTGGGAGGAGAATGTGGGTGAGTCAGATGACTGGAGGGAGGGCGGGAGTGGCTGGCTGGTACACGGCGGTCACTCCTCGTTACTTTTTGACTCATAATAGGTACTTAGTGGTTCGTTATAGTGAACAAAACATGCAGATACTTATATATAACCTATGCTTATAGTGTAATAACCGACAAAGTATTTGTTCACTGATTGATGAACATAATTGAATCAACAATATGCACACCATATTTTTGAGTACAGCGATGATTCACTCATTTTATTATATAAATATATCAAACTACAAACTATTGAATAATATTACAGCAAAAAAATTATGAAAAATCAATCAGACATTGAAATAATTCAGTAATTATCTCTTTGTGGCAACTCCGGCCTGACAGCTGGCGAGCAACAGACCGCCTGGGACGCATGCTGAGTCAGCGCCTATAATTTGCCAGACTTCCCCGCCCTATAGCGGGCAATATATGTCACTTACGATTTTTTTATTATTTTTCCCGTGATCAGTGAACACAAATTAACAGGTTAGGAAGAAAAAATATATATTTTTTTTTCAAAATGACATGCGCCTGTGGGGATGACAGGATATTAAACCCCGAGCATGTTAAGGGTTAAAGAGTAAAACACCAGTGTTCAATGTAATGAAACGCCATTTTCTGGGCAAGCCCCGAGGCTCCCTGAAGCTGTCCAAACTGACATGTGTCATATATTAGTTTGATGTCATTAGTCCCTAGAGTTCTGTATGCCTACTGGAGACTAAGAGCCAGAACCTGGTCCACTCAGAGGCCAGGGAGCAATGGCCATAATGAACACTCTACATTTAAAGTATGTCATGTCTGCCATCGACCGGGAAGGGCACCCAGAAAGATAGGCGAACCAATACATGGCGAACCAATACATGAAATGGCGTTTCATTACATTCAATGCTGGTTTTCTGTGGGGAGCCCCATTGGCTACTTGAAGCTTTATAAACCCAAGCGGAGCAGCTCCGGGTCTTCCAACTGGGCACCCAACCTGGCTTGTTGCAACAAAGAATACCTAGAATGAACCGAAACCACTGCCTGACCCCTAACATCTTCAGACTAGGAATGGGTAAACTGAATGACAAGCAGAGAACAAATCCTGCAAGACTCCGGGTCATAGGTGTCACCGACCCAAAACGCAGCATGACGGAGGCAGGATGGTGATCATCACCCCGAGGCAGGGGCAACAAACTACCTTCAAGATCGCACAAGGCAAGACAGGGTGAGAAAAATGCATCCATGGTACCCGAGCCCAACAGGGGTTCCCACGTAGCGACGTTTATTCCTTTTGTCTCCACCATGTTGCCTGCTGGGTCAGTGACACCTTCAACCCCGAGTCCCGTAGGGTTTGCTACCATCACGTTGCTCTCCTTACTTACACACCCCTTATGAGGCTGGTACTTTTCAGGCTGCAACCACTTTGCATCTTAGGTTTTCTGTGTTGCTGCAGTCTAGGGCATGTGTGCCCAGTATGCCCTGGAGCTGCCCCAGTTGATGTTTAGGGGACTGGAATTGGAGGTGCTGGTTAACTTAATCTTGTCTCTTTCCACACCTCCTCCTCTTTTTTCCACTTCGTGCTTTCCCTTCCTCTGTTCCTCCCCTCCCCCTGCTTCCTGCCCTGAAGCATCCAAGGATTTTTGTGTAGAGGCAGAGTTTAGCTTGGGATGTGGCTTGGTCAGTTTCATGGGTTGCCCCTTCTGATTCAGGCATGGAAGCAGTTGAGCCTACCGGTCCCCCCAAGGCTTCTGGGTCTTCCTTTCAGCCAGCCATTTTTTCCATTGAATCCTCTCCTTAGGACTCGGCTTCTCTATACCAGCCAGTGGGCTCAGATGATGGCTCTGCCCCAGGACCCTCTGGTGCAGTTTCCAGGCCATGGGAAGAGTTGGAGATGGTCTCTTGGGTCCCTTTTGACCCTTCATAGTTCCTAGTACCTTCTATGGAGGGTCTTATGTTGTAAGATGAGGGGGGGTTTTTGTATATCCCCCCCCCTCCCTGTACAAGTTTGACTTGGGTGTGGCTCCACCCAGAATTCACTTTGAGGGCCTTTTGGGGTCATCCTTCTGGAGGTTTCCTTCCTCTTGGGTCCCCTTGGCAGAGGATCAGGAGGCCCATTTTTACATGCCTCCTGCATGACCCAGTTTATGCTGATGGACCCGGCCTCTTGTTGAGTTTGGGTCTTCTTCTCTTTTTGGATGCATTACAAGGTTCAAGAGTTGTCCTGGCTGGCAGACAATCCTATGTTGTTGCTTAGGGCTTGACACAGTTTTTGTTGTGCCGTCATGTTTGACTGGCATGTGGTGTCGACCACATTGCAGATGTTTCCGAGGAACTTTCCTTTGAGCCTCTTAATGACTACTCGTTTACCCCCTGTGCTATCTCAAGACATGGGTCACCATTCCCTTATTTTCCCTGTTGTCAGTGGCACTCATGGCAGATGACCTTAATGCCCATCTGAATTTGGTTTCCATCGTGTGCTTTCTGGGCCTCCTAGAGCTGCATTCTGATTGGCCCATGGAGGATGTTGGGGCACTCAGTGGTGGCTTCTTGCAGGGGTCTTTGCCTCTGATGCGTAGGTTTCGGTTACGTTTCTCAAGCTGTACACCCCTATTCTCGCAGTGGCCACATTCTTTGCTTGTCAATTTGCTTGTTGACAATCTGTGTTGGCCCAATCTCTGGATTCAGCATGAGCACTTGCTCTCCTTTTCGCCTCTCATTTTTCTCCATTTTTGTTTCTGGAGGAAGTCATCACTCGGTTCTTGTTGTCTGCAGCATGTGCTTGTCAGGCGATCATGGACCTCCTTTGTGTTCAGGTGGTCATTCTCAGTTTTCGAAGTGGTTTAGTAGAGCTGGAGCAGTGCCTGCTGTTGGTCGGGATAGGCCATATGTGGAGCCAGATTCTTGCTAGAAAGTCGCTATGATTTCAGTCACTATGTCATTATGTACTATGAAAGCTAAATACATCAGTTTTTGACCTTAGGGGAATTATGTCAAAATATGATGTACACTTCGAAAGGAAAGGTTGAGGCTCACCCAGGGAAGGTAACCCTGAGCACATGCAGCTCCAAGCACCCTTAAAACTGGGCTCATGCTACACTGTAGTGCACAGTAAATGCCACCAAGGGCAAATGCCACACCATTTAGCTGAACAGGCAGAACACCAGAGCCAGCACAGAAAAGAGGTGACCTGGTACGCACATCTGCAATAGAACCGACAACCTCCTCCTGCCCCCAAAAAGAGTGATGGAGGTGGGGCAAACAAGCTCAAGCAAGTTCCAAGAGAGTTAAATCGTTTGTTTACATAGCTAGGGGAATTCTTGAGGTGGGTTTTGAGGCTTCAATCTCTATTGAATCCAGCAGTAGTTCGCTTTGACTGGCTGGCTTTCTGTTAGCCGTCCCTGGTGAGGTGGCACCACTCCCTGCACCTTAGGGGGGCCAGGTTCTGGCTCTGGTCCTCAGTAAGCTTATAAAACTCCATAGCTGATGCAACCTATAGATGGTACCATCTCCGCATATAGCTTCAGGAAGACACCAGGGGCTTTCCTCAGAAAATACAGACAATTAAAGCATTAAAACACAATTTTATTTCAATGTAATTTATGTTTTCAATTTTGACATTTATAATGTAGGTAAGTTGTGACTGCTCATTTTAAATTAACATGCCAATCATTTACATCTAATCTTGTCTAAAACAAATAAATCTTCCTTACCTCCCTGAGATCTAAATCGTTGAGCAATACTCTGTTCTTTAGCTGTAGGTTTACTCAATAATTCCATAATTTCTTCACCAACCTTTTTTGTTTCCCGTTCACGAATGCTCTGTGCTGATAACAAGCTCTGAAAGCATCATACAACAGGATCAGTATAAAAACTAACAATGACAGTAGCAAATTTAAGTGTTAATATCAGGGGAGGAGGAAAATGTGTGAAAGTTTTTACATAGATGTTCATGCTTGTGTGACAAAGTTAAGACAAAACACAAAGAATGTAGGGGTAAGTGTAAGATAAAAAGAACAGCGTTGAATGCAATGAAATGCCATTTTCTGGGCGAGCCCTGGAGGCTCACTGAAGCTAACTGCGAACTGATATGTGCTATATTAGTTCAGGGTCATCAGTCACAGGAGTCCTTATGCCTACCTGGGACCACGAGCCAGAACCTGGCCCCCTCAGAGGGCTGCAGGGAGCAATGGTATATGAGCACTTTACATTTAAATTTTGTCATAATTTCCATTGACCGGGGAAGGACCTAGAAAGGTAGGCGAATCAAAATAGACCACTGTCTCTTGATCCTGTGTAATCTACATCCTAAAAGATCACAATAACTCCTCTAGAAAAAAAAAACATCATTTCATGCAACTAGCACTCCCACTCGTTAAAGGGGAGCTGGCCCAATGGAGCCGGCAGCCCACCACTTCAGTTCTTGAACGATGGAAAAACCGCCAACCGGAGGGAAGAAGGGTGTCAGGGAGTCTCAGTGGCTCCCCCCAAAAAATGGTGTTTCATTCCATTCAATGCTAGTTTTCTGTGGGCTCCCCGATGCTAACTACCCAAAGTAAAAGGAGGGACACACCCGGGAGGCGGCAGCACCGTATGTCTCAAGACGAGGAACAGACAGACGGCAGCAAAAGGCGCCCAAAGGCCACACACAGCCAGGAAAAACCCCTGTGCCCAAATGTCGACCCAAGACATATTGCTGAAACCCGCTGCTAAAGCACCAGACTTCCTAACGCCACGGGCACGAGGGTAGATCGCAGGCTGGCTAGACTTGATGACACTACAGACAACCGGGGACACACAAGCCCTGGAACAGGGAACCAGGGAAACTGAAATCACCAAGAGAGCGTCCACCGTCACAGAATCAGTGGCCCGCAGGTAGCGGCATAAAGCTGCCACCGGACACAACATGTGATGCACCCTTGGCCTAACCAACCAAGCATCCAAAACCAACAGACACCCCCCAGAAGCCTGCCACTTCATTCTTCACCAGAAAAGAAAGAAAAGGCAGTACACGAACAAAACGACCACCTGGACCAAACGACAGAACCTCCAGCAATGGAGGAGAGCATGAAGCTCCCCAACCCGACCCTCCCAGATGCCAAGGCCAACAAAAGCTGAGCTGCAGGAGGGAGAGAAAGGGACACAGACTGAGACTCCCACACGAGGCCAAGCCAAGTCTGAACCTAGGAGAGAACCAACTGGGACAGAAACGCCAAATTACCAGGAAGCCGAACCCAGAAAGCTGGGAAAGAACCAGATCCCTGGCTAGCAGACAAGCAGACCGGCTGGGAGCCCACACCAACCAGTTGTCGAGGTAGGCCAACACCCAAAGACCTAGCAGATGCAGACGGGCTACCACGACCAGAGTTAAGTGCTTAAAAAAAGAGATATGCCAGATTCATGCCAAATAGAAAACAATGAAAGTGGAAAGCCAGTCGCCCCACCTTTGGGGCGCCTGACAGCTGGGCGGACAGTGCTTTGGATTCGTAGTCCTGAGGTTCCGGGTTCGATCCCCGGTGGAGGCAGAGACAAATGGGCAAAATGTTTTTTTCACCCTGATGTCCCTGTTACCTAGCAGTAAATAGGTACCTGGGAGTTAGACAGCTGCTACGGGCTGCTTCCTGGGGGTGGAAGCCTGGTCAAAGACCGGGCCGCGAGGACACTAAGCCCCGAAATCATCTCAAGATAACCTCAAGATAGACAACCTTGAAACCCAACCAATCCCTGAACCCCCAATGAATCGGGAGGTGCCAAGAAGCGTCCAGGGGCCAGGTTCTGGCGCTGGTCCCTGGTAAGTCTGAACTCCATAGCTAATGTCCCGGTCTAACATAACATACATTAGCCCGACAAGCTCCAGGGAGCCGTAGGGGCTCCCCACAGAAAATATCATAATAGATAGGGAAGACTGCACAAACTACTCATAGTTTGCTGCAGTGGGATGAAAATATAGAATACTGTATAGACATACAGTACATACCTGTACTGCATGTAAGATCTGCACTCTTCCGTACATAAATTAAATGCATATTTATCTTCAACTTACCATGACATCGTCATCTCGTGTTTCTTTTCGTTTATCCTTATCAATCTTATTCTCTTTATCTTCCCGTAAAATACACCGACCCAGTTGTTCCAGCCACACGTGAACCCTTGTCTGTAAAGACCGAGGGGGGAGGCACGTTACACAAACATCACTAACGAGGTTGTCAGGGCCACGAGCTGTCCACCAGTCACCGGAGGTGCCATACAAAGCTGTCTCGAGATCACCAATCCCTGTCATCAAGACCCCCAATGAATGCCAAGAAGCGTCCAGGGGCCAGGTTCTGGCGCTGGTTTAAGTCTGAACTCCATAGCTAATGTCCCGGTCTAACATAACATACATTAGTCATCTGCCGACAAGCTCCAGGGAGCCGTAGGGGCTCATCATAATAGATAGGGAAGACTGCACAAACTACTCATAGTTTGCTGCAGTGGGATGAAAATATAGAATACTGTATAGACATACAGTACATACCTTATGCATGTAAGATAAACAGACCGGGCCGCGAGGACACTAAGCCCCGAAATCATCTCAAGATAACCTCAAGATAGACAACCTTGAAACCCAACCAATCCCTGAACCCCCAATGAATCGGGAGGTGCCAAGAAGCGTCCAGGGGCCAGGTTCTGGCGCTGGTCCCTGGTAAGTCTGAACTCCATAGCTAATGTCCCGGTCTAACATAACATACATTAGCCCGACAAGCTCCAGGGAGCCGTAGGGGCTCCCCACAGAAAATATCATAATAGATAGGGAAGACTGCACAAACTACTCATAGTTTGCTGCAGTGGGATGAAAATATAGAATACTGTATAGACATACAGTACATACCTGTACTGCATGTAAGATCTGCACTCTTCCGTACATAAATTAAATGCATATTTATCTTCAACTTACCATGACATCGTCATCTCGTGTTTCTTTTCGTTTATCCTTATCAATCTTATTCTCTTTATCTTCCCGTAAAATTTTCACAAGGGGTTCATCAAACGAAACTGAAATTTTTTCAGTCACAACACATTCACCTGTGATAAAAAAAAAAAAATTATGCCAGTTTCTAATATTAAATATAATACCTGTAGTAGAGCTTGTTATGCTGAAACATTAGTAAAACAAATTAAAGTTTGTTTAAGTTTGAAAAGGTATTAAAGAACTTGGCCAAAGAAAGAGATCTGAGGGTACAGTGGTTCTGGAGAGCAAATTGTCACTGGAGGACCACACAAAGAACCACACAGAGGAGCACATGCTAAGCTTTGCAGCTACAAAATCACTTTTATAAAACAGAGAAAAATATTTAAAAAATACAGAAATTACACTTGGGTAATTACTACTGGTTGAACCTTGCACCATAACATCAGCAACAGAACTGGCTGGTCAGGGGGCTGCATACTATAGACTAGGGCTGGGCCACTTAGTGGTGGCGATACTACTAATTAGATTCAAGTTAATTTGAGTGAATTCCTTGTTCAACTCCCCGACCAAGGAATGTCGAAGTTTGAGGAGAATGCTCATTTATCCTGATTTCTGGAAACTGTGAGCAGGGATCATCATCCCCAAATCAATTATATGGGTTGTACTTTATTATCACCTACAAAATTCTCAGAGGAATTGACAGGGTTGATAAAGACAGACTATTTAAGCACAGGTGGTACACAACAAGAGAACACAGGTGAAAACTTAGCACACAAATAACCAGAGACATTAGAAATTTTTTCAGAGTGGTTAATAAATGGAATGCATTAGGAAGTGATGTCGTTATTTTGAGGTTATCTTGAGGTTATCTTGAGATGATTTCGGGGCTTTAGTGTCCCCGCGGCCCGGTCCTCAACCAGGCCTCCACCCCCAGGAAGCAGCCCATGACAGCTGACTAATACCCAGGTACCTATTTTACTGCTAGGTAACAGGGGCATAGGGTGAAAGAAACTCTGCCCATTGTTTCTCACCGGCGCCTGGGATCGAACCCAGGACCACAGGATCATAAGTCCAGCGTGCTGTCCGCTCGGCCGACCGGCTCCCCGACCGACCGTCGTGGAGGTAGATTCCACACACAGTTTCAAATAGAGATACGATAGAACTCAAAAGGTTGTTACTAATTCCCAGCATAGGAGAGGAAACTGTTTCTTCCTATTCACCTTCATGTACATCATTCTGCATATAACCTATGCACCAGCCAACCCAGATGTTCCACCCAGACGTATATGCCTGGGAAACACCCACCGTCATCCTCCACCCAGCCCCAGAGCCCCAGGCAGATGTTTTCCGCAGGCTCTGGTTATCCATGGGTAATTAGTAGTTACGCCGGTGGCCTGCAATTCCAAGCCTCATTGACAATAGACGTGACATCACCAGCAGGGGTATAAGTACTCTAGATCAACACTGTTCCTCCACACGACATGTGCCTCCTCGCCGCCTCATGTTCAGGTGTCGGTTTCACAAATATTTCGTGTCACCATTATTTCTTGTATTAAAGTAAGCTTATTCACGTTATTATTTTGTTTTCTCATGTGTTAGCTAAGTATATGTTAACACTTTCGCGGCCCAATACCGCATATTCCATCATAAAACAAAAATATGAAGTACATATGCCCAATGATGCAAACGGCATCAAAAATTAAAAAAATTGTAAAAATTTAATTTATTGTCTGAATACTATGGGACTTGTTTTAAAGTGCGCGCTAACATTTTCCCATGTTCTGTATACCCCATGTGGCATCCCCACCCCATGGCATGAGCGTCCACCCACGCTGATGGCCCATTGTTTTCTTGACCCCGCTCGGGACCGCCCGGCCTCCCCTCGCGTCAAAAAGTTTCCCCCTTTTCGGTTGTTTAATTTCAGCTATTTGTTGTTACCGGCATTATAAACACTGCTAATTGACTTCAAGATAGATAGGGATCAAGAACAGAGCCAAATACAAGAAGAAAGCAGTGAAAGAAATCCACATGAGAGAAAAGTTATCAAGTGTTCATCGAAAGTATAGAAACGTTTTACTCACACCAACAAAATTTCAGGCTGTAGTTGATGAATTTTCAGGCAGTGATTTTGACAGTGCAGAAAGTGATAGTGATGTAGATAGTGAGGTGGTTTGACATCAAAAAGCTGATAATATAAACATTTAAATGTGGAGGTGAGCTCATGGGCAACGCATGGACTACTCAGCGGTGTGCGGTGGGTCTAAAGTACAGTATAGAAAAGTGAGACTTTTATGTTCTTATATGCAAATATTCCCTTAGAGCATTCTATTGACACAATTTGATACCAAATTGAACGACATAGCACGAAAATTAATGTCAGAAAGCTGAAAAGAGTATAAACATTTTTGTGTTGTGGTGAGTTTGTAACTTATGATTATGTTATTCTGTAGCGAGTACAAACAATATACTCACTACAAGTTTACGTTCAACGCTCGGCATACCTTCAGGTGCGCTGGGGGTCGCGCAATATGGTTTACAGGATTTCAGGTATTATTTTTCATGTGTTTGTTCATATATATTAAGAGTAAATTGTGTTATGTTTTCATTTGATTATTCTTTATATCCTGTGCAATCTTCACACTGCAAGGGCCAAAGCAGCAATTTTTTTTTAATGCGAGGTATGTGACACGTTACATCTGCCCAGTATAGCTACGCTACTGCGTCACGTCACATTAACGGCTGATGGCCGAGTGGAAAGTGCTCTGGGTTCGTAGTCCTAAGGGTCCAGGGTCGATCCCTGGTGGAGGCAGAAACAAATGGGCAGTTTCTTTCACCCTATTGCCCCTGTTCACCTAGCAGTAAATAGGAACCTGGGAGTTAGACAGCTGCTACGGGCTGCTTCCTGGGGATGAGAGTGTGAAAATTAGAATCAAGGACTTGCCCGAAACACTATGCATGCTAGTGGCTGTACAAGAATGTAAGAACTCTATTATAATAATAATAATAATTAAATGGGTAAAGATATGATAGAGCTCAATAGACTAAAGAAACGTGTACACCAGTTGATTAATAATTGAGAGGCAGGATGAAAGAAATAAAGCTCAGCCTCTGCAAGCACAACTAGGTGTACAGGCGATGAGTCACAATAACGTGGCTGAAGAATGTTGACCAGACCACACACTAGAAGGTGAAGGGTCGTCCCTTCACCTTCTAGTGTGTGGTCTGGTCAACACAACTAAGTGTACATGAGACATGACCAAAAATTACAAGAGATAATTTGAAATACTTTTTTGAGAGGTAGTGACAGACCGAAGTTTTTTTTCTCGATACTCAGCACCCAACACTGCTGAAACTCTGTTGTGTTGAACTGCTGTCACAGTTATAGCTGTGTTGCCGTCTGTAACGTCTTGTGTCATACTATAATTTAAAAAAAGACAAATAATTTAATTAAAATATGAAACTTTACAAAGGCAATGGGTTAAATTACAGTAAGGTTTGCTACACTTATAATATAGTCAGACTATGGTACAGTATTTACAACTCTCTATAAATAGTGATTAAGAATTTGTATTTTTTACACAATGCAATAAACATTATATAACTATTATAAATATATTAGAATAATAATAATAATAATTATTACTTACAATGCTATATTAATAATTAATAGTTTACCATCATTATTATACTACACTCAATTATTTATATTATTAAATATTATTGTGACATTCAACATCATCATTACAATCATTAAAACTGTGCTTGTGTGTATTTCAACATCTGATCATACACTAATAAGGACAAGCAAATTCTGTATGCTGCCTGAAGTTTGAAGAGCACTAATACCTTATAAGCTCCTTGTAGGCAAATTTTTGCAAAAGATTATTGATAACCTTAGGTTGTAATGTTTTTCTTAGTTTTATAGACAGTGTCTGAGTGAGTTGAGTTGACTGGACAGGTGGTAGGGCTCCATTTAGACATTCTAACAGGGCACATTCTAAACTGGATTCATCACTTCCGATTGGTGTCACTGCTGCTGCTGCTATTACTGCTGCAGTTCCTTTTGCAGCTGCTGATGCTGCTGCTGCTGCTACTGCTGTTGTTGCTGCTGCTGTAAAATATAAAATGGCATTTGATTGGAGAAATTTATGAACCAACAATTTATTTGGTACGTACCGGTATATGCTCTTTCTTCCCCTCTTGCCTCCCATCCCTCTCTCCAATTTATATGGATAAGTGAGTACACTCACCTACCCATATGGTACGTGAGTGAACAAGAAAGTTGTGGTACAAAATTTTATGAACATGTTCACCTTTGGACTTTCCCTGTAATGTCTGGCTTATCCAGTGGGAGGGTGGGGGTCTAACGAACTATATTCCATATACAGTAGTTCGGGTAAGTGAGCTTAGTCAGTATTTACTGTAATGTATTTTGCTTTATGAATGAAGTATCATATACATATTTATACATCAACCCACTCAAGTTATTTTATTAAAATAATGCAAGATGGAAATATAATAAATACCGGTAAATATTCAGGGAACAAATTCACCAAAATACACCAAATAGGATAATTTTTCTAAAGCCTTGGGCTTTCCAATTCAGAAAAGTGAGTTATTCATTAGCTCCTGGACCTGACCCCCCCCCCTCTGAAAGTAGTATATTTGCTTGTATTATTATTATTATTTTTTTACAGTATAGTACTGCAGAATAAGTCACATATAAGAGTGTCACAATACCAAGGCCAAAACAAATAATCCAGCCCACATGAAATCAAATGAGAGTAACAACACTTCAGTCCGTCTAATGAATTATTGCTATTATAAGATAGTAGTGAAAGCAGGCATTTAAATCAACGAGTGCAAGCCAATGAAGAATGATTTGCATCCATGAACTTTAATAATGATCCTATGAGTTGGATATAGCTTTCAGACATGTTCATTAACCAATCCTACATGTTTTGTGACTATTTTTGCTAATTGTTGTTTACATGCATTCTACCTAATAATTGCATCTATGAAATGTGCAACAATTTGAGCAGAGAAGTGCGATGATTTGCTCATTGTGTGCAGATCGAGATGCCAGCAAACACTGTCAAAGTAACAATATATCTTTGGGATAAGTTACTCTATAATGTAGGCATTTAGATCAATTGACTTCCAAAGTTGTCAACTGCCACCTACTTTCATCATAATTTGTTGAGATTATTTCCAAGTAAAAATTTTTTTTCACATTCTACATTCAGTACCACCATTATAGCAAGCATATGTTATATTTCTTTACTTGTGAGGCTTGGAGCTTTTTGGTAATTCTATGGACCTCTAGGTGATGGAGAAGTTGTGTGAAATTAAAATGTGTTATAGCAATAACAATCCCCGTAGACAGTCCCCGTGGCGTAGTGGCAATACACTCACCCGGCATTTTGCGAGCGCTTAGGCCTGGGTTCGTATCTTGGCCGGGAAGGATTTACTGGGCGCCAGTCCTTAACTGTAGTCTCTGTTCACCCAGCAGTGAATGGGTACCTGGTTGTTGAACGATTTGGCGGGTTGTATTCCGAGGAAACTTAAGATTATGGACCTGCCTGAAACGCTATGCGTGCTAGTTAGTGGCTGTACAAGAATGTAATAACTCTTGTATATATAAATAAATAAAACCTATATAAATTACCTGGTGGAAGTGAGGGAGAGGGAGTGGGAAGGACAGGGGGAATGAAGGGGCTCGGGCTACTGGTCCCGCCTGCACCCACTGAACTTAGGATCGTCTCCCTCTCAGCCTTCCTCTTCTTGATCTTCTCCCTAAATATCTCCCTCTTACTCTTCACCAGCTGGATGCTGGCCCAAGTCTCGTCGCCCATCCTGGGTGGTGTTGCTCTTGGTACTAATGGTGGTGTCCCCGGGTGTAAAGTGTGTACACTCAACACTCACAACTCTCCCACACAAACAACACAACAGCCTTGCAGAGTTGCCAGGTCCATACTGCTACAAGTAGCGGGTTGACGCTCTAAAAGTAGCGGATTTGCAATAACAGTAGCCCAATTTTTTGTTTAGTGACTAATACGGGTTTCAAAGTAGTATTTTTTTATATATACAGTACACTACACGATTTTAATTGTTTTATTAATATTATGTCTGAATATATATATTTTAAAAATATGATAATAGGATAATTTACCAATATTTGCTGTATTTGAAGCATAATGGGTGTGGAGTCCTTCCACGTCTTCACAGTTGAAGATTATCAAGAGGATCTTCTTCGTCTGCATCCATAACCTTGTTCTTGTATATTGCAGACTCATTTAAACATTGACATGGGTGTTTCAAATGATGAGCAACAAGTTCCGTTTTCTTCAAGATATGTTTTGATTCTCAAGACTGATGTCAAAAGCTCAAGTTCCATTCGATTTCTGTTTAGTTTTCACAGACGTTACTCTCGAAAATACCCGTTCAACCAGGGCATTATTGATTGGTAAGCTGTATAGTTTCAATACAAACTGGGCGAGGTCAATCAGTATGGGCTCGCCAGCAGCGTTCTTGACAGTTATTGTCTTGGTCCACAATGATGATCAACATGTTGGAATTTGTCCTTCACAAATGTTGGACCAGTCAATGGTTAACAGTAGGCGCCACTGACTTTCAATTTCACTACGCTTAGATTGGTCAGCTAGTACTAACGGAAGTTCTGAATATAATGCCCGTGTGTGGCTAAGAAGGCATATGCTAGGACTCAGGGGTCTCCAAACTTTTCAATGTAAGGGCCACATTATATATTTCCCATATTTATGCGGGCCGGAGGAATAAAAAATGAAAAAAACAAATTCGTCATTGAACCGACGGCACTCACTGTCCACTTTTCTTTTCTTTATCTTTTCCATATCTGAAAACATAAGGGTAAAATAAATTAAATAAATTCTACAGGAAAAAAACAGCTTGTATGTGGTGTTAAAAAGCATAGCATATTATTATAAAGTGGTAAATATTATGGCAACAGCTTTCGTTGATAAACTTAATGGTTACCATTTTAACTATTTTAAACATGCAATATTTTTGGCTACAATAGTATTATTGCTATTTTGTATAACTAAGATAAAGGCATTGTCAAAGTACAGAGAAAAGAATATTGTACAGTGTTTGTGCTCCCTGAAACGTAAGCAGCGAAGCCCCACTCGCCCTCCATCCCCACAATATACAGTTATACACAACTGATTGGTTGTAATGCACAACACATACCTACCAGTATTAGTATCTGTGCGTCACACTATCGAGAGAGAGGAAAACTGACTCGGGTTGAGCGCCACCAGTCAGCAACCCCAGCTTTGAATAATTCTGCGATGCCATTCGTACGATAATTATTTTTTCAAGGCCACCACACAGGGATTTGTTTGGAGGGCCGGATGAAATTATGTGGCGGGCCGGATGTGGCCCGCGGGCCATAGTTTGGAGACCCCTGTTAGGTGACAGATTTTTCATTTTTTTTAAAGTTTCAACATTACTTAGAATACGAGAAAGAAGCTATTTGCAAGCTTTCACTAAAAAATTATGGCATCTTTCTTGAATCTTCTGAAACTTTTCCTGGGTTATAAAATTGTTTTGTCTGTTACTTGCCAGAAGTGTTGAAAATTCGCAACCGAAGTCAACTTTCTCCCGGGGCAGATATTTTGAATTGTAGTCCAAATTATCATCAAGCTTTGCATAATGAGGATGCACAATTCTTCTAAGCATTTCTAGAGTAAAGTTTTCTAAGACAGTGTGAAGTTAGTTTAGTTTAGTTCATTTATTATGCACCCCATACCCATCTTGTGGGCGGTAGTGGAAAGGGTTACAGAGGCACATAATGGGCTCAGGGACTGAACCCCACAATTCATTTAGCTAAGCAAGTTACAATCTTGATGAGCTAGTTACAAAATTCAATATAAGTCATCACATCAACAATGGGTTCGAGATCGACCTCAAGTAAAGGTTCTAAATTAAGCAACTGACATATGTGGAGAGCTAGTGTCAAAATTTATATATTTGTCCTGCACACCGCCCCCCATCCAGTGGGCAGCGGTGGATAGCTTACAATCACTCAGTTACTACCCACAGTTAGCAAACTGGGGATATTTGGCTAAAATTTCTGGTAGCAGATCATTTTGAATGAAATATTTACACATCGCTGGAACATTGGTTATAGAATTGTCTCTAAATTCACGTATCTTTTCGCACTCCATCATATAGTGACGGAGGGTGTGCGAATAATTTTGTTGACACAGTTTACATTTGGTCAGGTCTACATCAGCAGATAATGAGAATTCCCAGAGATACTTGTAACCGAGTCTAAGCCGAGCAGTAGTAACATCTAGAAGTCTTAACAGTAATAGCCCAACTTGCTTTAAAAATATCCCAAAAAGTCGCAAGTAGCGAAATAAAAAAATTGGGAGCGCGGGGCTCCCCAAAGTAGCCCAATTCGCTACTTGTAGCCCAATTTGGCACCCTGCAGCGCTGCCACATCTGACATGCTAAAAGTAGCGATCTGTAAGACGAAAAGTAGCGAATTTGTAATAAAAGTAGCACATTATTTTATGTTTAGCGATTGATACGGTTTCAGAGTACTGTAATATATTTTAAGGCATAGAGTACACACATGATTTTTAATACTTGTGTTATCATCATTGCATGTATTTAATAAAATAATGTGATATTTGGATAACTTTCCAATTTTTTCTCTGCATGAAGCATAATTTACGGATGGACCAAAACGTCGTCGTCCCTTCACTTTCTAGTGTGTGGTTTGGTCAACATATTTCAGCCACGTTATTGTGACTCCTCGTCTGCATATTATTATTATTATCATCATTATTATTATTAATAATGATAATAATAATTTTTTTACAAGAAGGTAAAATATTTTTAGTCTTGCAAAGCCATAACACGCATAGCGTTTCGGGCAGGTCCTTAATCTAACAGATAATTTTAAGTAGGTAATTTGTAGCAAAATTGAGAAATGTTAACAGATACATTGGAAGAAAATTTGACGAAGATTAGTAGATACATTATAGTAAAATTTGAATATTATCAACAGCTACATTGTAGCATAATTTGAGGATTATTTCTAGGTATAATGTAGTAAAATATGTGTTCAATATAACAACCATGATACAAGATGATAGCAGTCATTACAATGGTAAAGTTGAATGGCTTAGGCACATATATTTGGGGAGTGAGTAGCACAAGATACAGTTTAAGGCACTAAGTCCGTTTTCTGTTATGGTGTATTTTTTCCATTTTCAATATTTATGTCAAGGGGAATTGAAAGGCCGCCTTCCGTCAAGCCATTATTATATAATGGAATGTGAAAAAATCGCAGAATTCAGAGATAACACCATCAATGGTGTCCAAGAAATGTGTATTTCATTCATAATGATGTGCTGCCCGAAATCTTAGCGAAGTATCCAAAATTTGCTGACTGTTGGTAATGCTGCACATGACTGTAAAGCTGCCGCCCAGTTGGGTGGGTGTGGAGCACATGACTGTAAAGCTGCCGCCCAGTTGGGTGGGTGTGGAGCAAGACTAGTAACTGTGTGACTCACAATAGATGTAAAGTGCCTTGTATAGTGACTGTTGTGAGTCTCTTGTTGAATCACTTGTGATACAAAAGATTATTGACATGTGTATTTGTGTAGGTGATTAAATATGTATGTGTATGTATATATGTAAATGTTTATATGAGTATGTGTACATGTATATATAACATTAATAATTGTGTAACTAACGTCAAAAGATTGTTATTTGCTTAGCTAAACGAACTAGAGGGTTCAGTTCCTGAACCGATTATGTGCCTCTGTAATCCTTTTTACACCACCGCCCACGGGAGGGGTATGGGGTGCATAATAAAGAAATAAATTGAATTCCGTCAAGCCTAATGTACAATGACGTCATCCATAACGTCATCCTTTAGCTTTGATGTCCAAAGAGCTTGGAGAGGATGTGGGAGGAAGAATGATGGGGCGGTGAAATTCTTGGAAGAGGATCTGGATGTGGAGAGTGGCGGCTGGAAAGTTCGGTGGCCTTTCCACCTCTGATTGGAGATGTTTTTTCGGTCTAAGCCTGTAGCTTGAGTTCTTCTTAGGCTGCAGGAAATGTATATGTTTATCTCTCAGAATATTCGGTAATATGTTTATTGCTTGTGATGTGTATCTATGTATGTATGAACACGATGTACTGAACGGGGTGAGAATAGCATGAGCTACCTCATCCCTTTGTGTGTATTTTACCTCAATAAACTTATTTCAATTTCAATTTCTTAGGCTGCAGGAGGCTAGTGGCGAGGCGGTGTGATGACGGCCTGGTTCACTTGAGGTGTTCTATAATCTTCCCATAATAATAATAATTCCGTTTTCAGTAATAGCATATTCAAACCCATTTTCTTATTGTTCCCATTTTCAAAAGATAATTTTTTCTAGTCAAGACGGCATATTGAATATGATAAATGAAATTGCAGACGATGTCTCCAACTTGTGTTAACATAGGAACACATAACATAGGGAGCAGAAGGCTGAACACAAGGTACCATCTGGGAGGTGAAATCCTGCAAGTCAAATAGAGAGAAAGATCTGAGGGTTACACACAGAGATCACACTAACGTGATGCATCATATGAACAAGTCGGCCCTTGTGGATTTGTTCATCTGGGGGTTGATATCACACCGAACCTGTTCCCAGAGGCCCACAGCAAAAGGATATCATCAACGGCATATGCTAGGTTGGCCAACATAAGAACTGCCTTTAGAAACTTGTGTAAGGAATCGTTCAGGACCCTGTATACCACTTATGTCAGACCAATCCTGGAATATGCAGCTCCAGCCTGGAGTCCATACCTAGTTAAACACAAGACAAAGTTAGATTAGATTCAGCGGTATGCCACCAGGCTCGTCCAGGAACTGAGAGGAATGAGCTACGAGGAAAGGCTAAAGGAGCTGAACCTCACATCCCTGGAAAACAGAAGAGTAAAGGGAGACATGATAACCTCAGTTACAGTCACTCAGTTACTACCTACAGTTAGCAAACTGGGGATATTTGGCTAAAATTTCTGGTAATAATTTTGTATGAAATATTTACTCATTTCTTGAACATTTGTTTAATAATTGCCTCTGAATTAATTATTTTTTTTATATATACAAGAGTTTTTCATTCTTGTACAGTCACTAGAATGTGTAGCATTTCAGACAAGTCCTTAATCCTATGTTCCCAGGAATATGACTCCGCCAAATCGTTTAACAACCAGGTACCCATTATACTGTTAGGTTAAACAAAGGCTACAGTTAAGGATTTGCGCCCAGTAGATTCTTCCCGGCCAAGATACGAACCTAGGATGAAACGCTAGACGAGCGTCTAATTACCACTATACCATGGTGACTACGCCATGGGGACATGGGGACTACGCCATAGGGACATGGGGACTTTCACACTCCATCACATGTGCGAATAATTTTATTGACACAGTTTACATATGGTCAGGTCTACTTCAGCAGGAAATGAAACTTCCCAGAGCTACTTATAGCCAAGTCTAAGCCGAGAAGCAGTAACATCTGGGAGTCTGCTGATTTTATTGGATGATCCATAGATGTGTGGCTCCTCTCGCATAATAGTATGATGATAGATGAAATGACTATAGTAGCGTCAATTTCCCGTTGCCTCAGATCTACAAGGTTTTGTCGAAGGTCTTGGTGTAATATTGCTCTCAGACTGTTCATAGGCAATCCAAGGTTATAATCAACTTCTTTAAAAGGCAGATTCATTAGCTAACTCATCAGCTCTATCGTGCATTCGGAGGCCAGCATTAGATGGAATCCACATGAAATGGACTATTACCAATCATTAATAATGTTGTATTTGTGTCTAGCTTCAGACACGAGCATGTTATAGTTACGTCTTGAAGAGTTGAGGGCAATTAAGGATGATAAAGAGTCACTTATAATTAATGTATCAAATTTGGAGACTTGTACATATTTCAGTGTAAGAAGCAAGGCAAATAGTTCGGTCTGAAAGGTAGAGGCCCAATTGTTTATACGGACTCACCACTCTAAATACAAGCCATCACCCATTGTCAGGAGAACTGCACTTCCGCCCCACAGGTGCAGCTGGTGTAGGGAATCATCAGTGTATATGGTTTGAGAGAGAGAGAGAATGCTCTGTGGACAGAGCATCAATGTGGCTTAAGGCGTTGAGCTTTGCCTCAAGACGAAGCTTGGACTGATCTTTAATTTGCTTCTTGGGTGGAAAGGGAGGGATTAAAATTGGAAAGGGTGTAACCTCCCACGGTGCAGGAAAGTGCCGTTGTTATCTCTTTTGGTACAAATTAGAAATTTGATACCTTCTGAGTTTAGTTCCAATTTTAATTATCCATTTTGAACAATGTTTACCTCCAATAAAAAAATTATGGAGGGCTTTTCAAGGGTTAGGATGAGCTAGCCTAGTTCATTTGCAGTCAAATTCATATCTGTGCCATTTTGAAACAATGATATTATAAATAATTCAAAATGCAAATAAATTAAAACAAAAGTCGGAAATATAAAACATTGTTATAGGTTCAATAAAAAGCTTTAAGATTTTCAGATCTTAACATTGAATTACTCTAAAACTAATACCAAGAGCTTCGAACCTTCTCTGATATTCTTAACAAGGCCAGAGTAATATCATCTCATAGAAGTGGTGATCTCTCGAAATTCAATCAATTTACACCCATATCAATCCTCCCCACCATATCCAAAATATTTGACAAACCACAAACACCTTTACTCATACCAAGATAAACATTACATACTTTGTTCTTGCCACTATAGCTTCAGCCCCCATAAAATCCCTAATGATGCTCTAATTAATATACTTAACTTGATAAATGTAAATCTTGACAAGGATGAATACCCTGTTGGTTTATTTGTTGACCTACGTAAGGTTTTTGATACCATTAACCACAATAAACTATTCAAACTGCAACAATGTGAATTCAGAGGTCACTCCCTTCAACTCTTACATTCTTACTCCAGTGAGAGGTACCAGTATGTGTTTGTAAACGATGCTCTCACTCTGCCAGTTAACACTGGCCTTCAGCAGGGTAGACAACCCGTCCACGACTCAAGTCCATTACATCCAGCGGTCGACCCCACAGACGCATTCATAAATTTTAACATGCTGTTCATTCAAAACAGGAATTTTCTCAAATATAAATTAATATTATAATATATTAGCATATTGTGCATATATAGGCATAGGTTAGGTTAGGTGTTTAGATTCTGTTGGCGATTATTTTATTGGTAGTACGTGGGTGAAGCATTTATAGCGTTGTGATTCGAACAAAATTCGTCAGTGAAGCACTTGTTCCGGATATGTTCGAACGTCAGCAGTTGTGAGTCGTGTGTAAACCGCTTTTCATTCATAAACAGGGGGTTTGGCGGGTGCATGGAATTACTTTTGGATCTTTGTTTGGAGGACGTGCTGCATTTACAGCGTTGTGGCTCGAACAAAATTCGTCAGCGAAGCACTTGTTCCGGAAGTTTTCGAACATCAACAGTTGAGTCGTGTGTAAACTGTTTTTCATTCATAAACAGCTGGGGGGTTTGGCGGGTGCATGGAATCACTTTTGGATCTTTGTTTGGGGGACGGGCTGCAATAATCTTCCAAATGCCACTCAACACTTTACGCCAATTCTATTTGCTGATGACTCAAGCTTCATTTATCCCATGCTAACTCACTTATTCTAAACGACACACTGAAAACTGAACTAAATAAAGTAAGTTTATGGTTGACTGCTCAACTTATCCTTAATATCGATAGAACGTTTTACATAATGTTTGGTAAAAAGTCCAACAATCAAATTTACTTAAGAATTAACAATATTCAAATTATAAGCATAATAGATGGAAAGTTTCTTGGTGTTCATATAAATAAACTGAATTTCCATTGCCATATACATATCCAAAATGTTTTCAAAGTAGCATTATCTCCAAAATCAGATACTACGTACCTCGCCCTGCCTTAGTAACTCTTATTCACTTATTTATCCATATGTCACATATAGTATCTGTGCCTGGGGATCTACCACCCTTAATTACCTCCGGCCTCTAATTACTCAATAAAAATCAGCAATTGGAACAATAATAAACTCGTCCCAACCACTACTCTTCTTCCTTACTGAAATCTTTGAACATGTTGTTGTTGTTGAGTTAGGGGCGACGACGATCGTGGGATCGGATGCGCCCCGGCGTACCCGTGAAGGGTGAATCGCAAAGCCAGGAAAGGCGTAATGCTAAGCCAAAACGCGAAACGAGTGACGCCAAGCACTAGAAACTAATATGCCACACGGCAAAGCTACGCACAAAGGGAGAGGCAGAAGCCCATAATAGAACATTTGAACATGTTAATATCAAATTACTGCCCTCAAGCGTTCTCTATATCTATAAAACTCTGAACTTCAATGCCAATTCTAACCTTAGGCATTCCTAGAGGGCTGTGACAGAACTCACGGTCACCACACGAGAAACAAACATCTTTGATATACATAGAGTGAGACAACCAAAGCAGAAATGCTATTCAAATTAAGGGTCCCAAATTAAGGAATGACCTCTCGAATGTCATTAAAAGCTGTGCGTCTCCCAACCAGTTTGAAAAGAGAAGAAATATGTGCGAAGTATCATGCAACTAATTTCACTCATTTTCCCTCGTAATAAAAAAAGTTATTGTTATCTTAAATTGTATTTACAATTTATGTCCTTTCTTCATTGTCATCTAATTACTGTATCTACATGAACCCAGGAGAGACCGAGGCTCAGGAAGGTACAGTTCAGGAGACCGAGGCTCAGGAAGGTACAGTTCAGGAGAGACCGAGGCTCAGGAAGGTACAGTTCAGGAGACCGAGGCTCAGGAAGGTACAGTTCAGGAGAGACCGAGGCTCAGGAAGGTACAGTTCAGGAGACCGAGGCTCAGGAAGGTACAGTTCAGGAGAGACCGAGGCTCAGGGAGGTAGAGTTGAAAAGATTTCAGGAAAGTTAGCAATAAGAAACAAGGTCAGTGGGGCACATTTTTATTGTCTTTTCGGCATCTGGCACAGCAGAGACGACGCCCCTGGCCGACAGGTGAGCCGGTCAGCTGAGGGCCAGACCTCGCACACAATAGCTGTCATAGATGCTCAGGCTCACACAGGAACCTTCGGGCGAACATACAAACATACTCGAGTACAAACTGACAAACACATTTTATGTGCACATGTTCATACAGACATGTCTATGCTCACACACGCAAATGTGAACGTTTGTTCACCTCTATCATTACATACATGCTTATAATAGTACAAGTTCATATTAATGACTTTTACAATCACACACACACAAGGATCCTAAAGTACAAAGGAATATAATTTTATACTTAATGGCTTTAGAATATTCTATGTACAGTACCATAAACATTATAGTTCAGAGGGATGATGAATTTAACAGACCAAATGTATGACATTCATTATATATTTTATTCTACATTTTAAATTATTTATAACAGCTTGACTTTTAATTATGAAATATACGTACTTTTTCGCTTAATGAGGTATAATTTATTGTTATAATTAATTTGATATCAACTGCCAATAAATCATTTAACATTTAAAATGCTTAAAAAGTATTGGATTTGCAATGTTGTGTTCTAAATGCTGACGACTGCTATATTGGCTGTGGCGTTGTGTTCCACACTACTGTTGTCATCAAGTCCCCCAGTTTTATGAGAAGTCTGGCAGCGGCAATCGTACTCTTCAGTAATAATGAAATGCAATTCTTTTGGCGAGATAATTTAATTAGACGAATGCTTATTTAGATTTTGTTCCATTTCACATGCGCGTGGATGAATGTTGCATCACAGAATGCTGAGCACCCAACTGGCAAACTTTACACGCTTTATAAAGCAGTAACTTTCTCAGTTAAAATAAGAGCAGTGATTACAAATTCTTACCATGAAGCTACACTATTTACGGAATAAATAATAATAACAATGCTAACACTTAAAAGGTAGTTTAATGTTTAATTTAAATGTATTGATAGCAAGAAAATCTTCAAAGTTCTTAGTTCTAAAAGTGGGAGCTTGATTATCCGCTGAAGGCCTCTTCTGCCATACGTGCTAACAGACACACGATCAATCCATCACTACTTTTTGACAAAATCTACAAATTATTCACTTTTTAATTATCGGAAAACCTTGAAACATATTAACATAGGTGAGAAGCGCGCTGCTGCTGGGAGTCTTAGAGAACCAGAACACTTGTCCTGCAGAACTTCGTAACTTTTGGCAAAGAGAGTTGTGAAGGTTTAGTTTCAAAGGAATATTTTCAAACTTTAAACTAAGTTAAGTAATGAGTGACTGTCTCCATCATCATCATCATGACATTCCACCTATCATAATACTGTTGCAACCACAGACCAGAATGCACATGCAAGAGAACAACAGTTTTGCTTCGCTGCAAAAATGCGGTCTCGGTGATGAAGGTATGAATTGGGAGCTTCAAATACTTAAGGACACGGTTCTTAAATTTCCCGAAACAATTTAAAGAAAATAGTGTAGAAATATGAAATAGGCTTGTGTTAAACATAGCCTGTACACACAGCAATGTGGTGCTGAGGACACGTGAGGAGCTTCTCACTACTCGCTGACCATCATGGTCGACGGCACACACATCCGTTCATCACTCTTACATATAAATATTACACTTCTAGGGTAATTATGTACAATAAAGTCACATTGTTCTTTTATAATTTATGAGAAATAAAGAGATAGTTCTTCAATTAGTAAAGGAAATATTTGTTCTAGGAGAAATTGAACCGGGAACTACCACAACTGATGAGTGAGATTCAGTGATATAAAAATTATGATACATCAAAACTGAAATTTATGTATAAAAATCAACAACTATATACATTGCACACATTCTTCTGAACAGTTAATGTTTAGAAGAAGGGCATCCGCACAGGCGAACACCTTAGGAAAGACTGGGCTGAGTGGCCAATCGTGACCTCGAGTACACACGTGGGATTGGTTGATTGGGCGACACACAACATTAACCCTGTCCACAACTAATGGTAATATAAAGGCCATCTACAGTACAGTATTTAGATTGCAATATTCATGGTTTCTTAATAAATAAAGTGCAACAGTTTCAGTTCGGTACGATCTTGATATTTGTTTCTGTAAGTACACCATAAATAAATAATAATTCGAAATTACCGAGGCTTTCGAGTAACTTAAGACGTGTTGAGTTGCATCACCACACACACGTTAGTGATGGCAGGCACTGAGTGGAAGCTGCACCTGGCGCTGCTTGTCTGCTGTGCGTCGTTCATGTCTGCTCTATTGTTTGGAGCAGTGTTGTGTGGCTCTTGGTGTATGGTAAGTGGTGCGTGATGCTGCGAGGCGAACTCAAACAAGTGTATGTTGGGTAGTAAGTGGTGATATGTACAGTGGGTAGTGTGATAGGTGGTTGGCTCGTGTGTATATGTTGGGTGTTACGTGGTGAAGTATGAGGGAGTTATGCAGGGTGATCGTGGCTGGTGACACCCTGCAGTCGTGGATGTGGGTTGTGATGTCGTAGCCCTGCGGCAGCACCAGACCCAGTAGGGACACCACCCCGCGCCGTCGCCTTGCCAGCAAGCCGCCGCCGCAGCTCGGAGGGCCTGGTGCCGCCGCTCAGGTGACCCTCCAGGCTACCGCCATGGATGGGTTTAAGTGGGTTAAGGACGAGGGAGAAGCACTGGACATGTGTAGCTGTCGGTAATGATGCATTCTAAATTAGGAACACCTGATTGTTGAAGAATGTTTCTTCTTGTTTGAACAGTCTCCGAGGTGTGGAGACATTCTTAGCGTGGTATGAGGCCCCCGGGCAGGTAAAGTAAACAAAAAATGGAGGACCTCCTGGGATATTACCTAACACAAGGTACAGGTATGTATAGTATCTGGTGTGCAAGGCACACGAACTGGAGAGTTCTGTGGCTCCGGGTCACAGTGTGTCCGGGGCCACAATACTGAAGCTTTTGTCTGGTATTGTCGGCAGCCAGGGAGCCACCACACTGCCACTAGTGGCCTTGACACATCTCCTGCTGAGAGCGACAGCAGTTCTTCTGGATGTACCGGTGACCACAGTAGCGGAACCCATAGGAACGTAGAAACTCTTGGCACGTGAGGCTTCCCGCGATGTTGGCGATGCGGTCCTCACATTCCCCATCTGCTGGAGAGGTTGCAAAGGGTCAGCACAAATGTTTTCACTAAGTAAAGCACACACAATTTTGGATCACAGTATGATTATCAGTCTGGGACTAATTCCTGGGATGAAAATGGAGACAACATTGGAAAAGGAGAGGATAGAGAGGGAGAAGAGGATTGAACTCCAAGTGGAGTACAAGGTTCCATCTTGGGGCGAACCCCTTTTTGTCAACATCAATGACAGATCAGAATGTTACAAACAAAGGTTATCAAATTTGCAGATGACACTAAGATCTAAAGTAGGAAATGAAAATGATACTGAGGTCTTACAAGGATCTACGTGAAATCCACATATGGTCGGAAGACTGGCAAATGCTGTTTAATAATGACAAATTCAAGACTTTGCATAACAACACACAACACAACATCACAACACACAACACAACACACATCACAACTTTAAAATCAATAACACTATCAAGCAGCAGACTGGAGAAAAAACCTAGGAGATAATTAGGTAATTTTCAGAAGAAAACACTAAGCCATTACGACTATATATCACTTGGAAGGAATATGACAATAAGGATTTAGGATAGGACGGAGGGAAGAAATAGTGCCCAACCACTTAGATGGTCGGGGGGGGGTTGAACACCGACCTGAAAGCGAGACCGTTGCTCTACTATCCAGTCCAAGTGGTTGGGCGACCTAGGAGTCAGAATCCATAAGCCATTGAAAGTTGCTCAAGTGGGAGTTTCACTACAAAAACAAAGCCAACTAAACCCCAGGAATAGTCAAACGAACCTTTGACTTCATGGAAAAAGAAAGTGGTCAAGTTTCTGATGCGGCCACATTTGAACTACTGTATTTGTAGTTGAACTACTGTATCTACTGAACTACTGCATGGAGGAAATACAACACTGAGCAACATTCCTCAACTGGGGTTTCTCTGAGCCCTATGGTTCCACGAGAGGTCACTAGGGGTTCCACGAGTGGCCGCTAGGGGTTCCACGAGAGGCCGCTAGGGGTTCCACGAGAAGCCACTAGGGGTTCCACGAGAGGTCACTAGGGGTTCCACGAGAGGTCACTAGGGGGTTCCACGAGAGGTCACTAGGGGGTTCCACGAGAGGTCACTAGGGGGTTCCACGAGAGGTCACTAGGGGGTTCCACGAGAGGTCACTAGGGGTTCCACGAGAGGTCACTAGGGGTTCCACGAGAGGCCACTAGGGGTTCCACGAGAGGCCACTAGGGGGTTCCACGAGAGGTCACTAGGGGGTTCCACGAGAGGTCACTAGGGGGTTCCACGAGAGGTCACTAGGGGGTTCCACGAGAGGTCACTAGGGGTTCCACGAGAGGTCACTAGGGGTTCCACGAGAGGTCACTAGGGGTTCCACGAGAGGTCACTAGGGGTTCCACGAGAGGTCACTAGGGGTTCCACGAGAGGTCACTAGGGGTTCCACGAGAGGCCACTAGGGGTTCCACGAGAGGCCACTAGGGGGTTCCACGAGAGGTCACTAGGGGGTTCCACGAGAGGTCACTAGGGGTTCCACGAGAGGTCACTAGGGGTTCCACGAGAGGTCACTAGAGGTTCCACGAGAGAAAACAATGCCAGATTTTGCCAACTGCTTTGAAGATGAAGAATGATTGCAGAAACTAGCCTACTTAGCACACATTTTTCATCGTGTGAATTAGTTGAACAAGTCACTGCAACGTCCTGGAACGACTTATCAGAGAATAATGCCAAGCCATCACGACTATATAGCACTGGGAAGGGGTCAGGATAAGGATTTGGGATGGGACGGGGAGGAGGAATGGTGCACAACCACTTGGACGATCGGGGATTGAACGCTGACCTGCATGAAGCGAGACCGTCGCCCTACCGTCCAGCCCAAGTTTTTGGGTGCAAGGTCCTGGAGAAAATGTATTAACTTCAAGTGAAAAGATTCTTTGGTTTAACAGAAGACAATCTTCGGAAAACTCATACTGCAAAAGGAAATCTTTAAATGTTTCAATTACTGCTGGGACTTAAGACTGAAGAAGGATATCAATACATTTCGAGTCTTATTTGAAACCCATCTGGAAGACCTGTTAATTAAACTCAAGCATTATTTTTCCCTCCCTTTCAATTCCTCTGAGAATTTTGTAGGTAATGATCATGTCTCCCGTTATTCTTCTGTCTTCCAGTGTTGTGTGTGTGTGTGTATGTATGCAATGTTTGTTAGATAACTGTGTTTGCTCTTATTCCTGTGAGGGTTCTAATTGAGAGAGATAAATAGGTGACCTGGGGACCGGACAATATAGAGTAACTGAGGGAACTTTGATGGAGGACACCCGAACTGAGAGAAGGGCAAGTGACTGTTCCCTCAGGTCAAGGGTGTCAACACGTGACAACAAGAGGTTACTGAGCCACAGTTGTCATCTTGGTTGCAGTAATTACCTTCTCCACAATGTGGTACCATTCCGGGTGGTTCACGAGTGAGCGACCTGACACAGTGCAGTGTCACAAGTGGCAGCACGAGGGGCGTCAGCTCTGCTTCCGTTATGTTTTTTGTCTGTCTGATAATTTTGGGGATTCTTGTCCGGAAGTTCCTCACCCAATTGCAGTTGTGATAAATTGGAGGGTGTGTCCGGGAGGACCTGCCCAGTTACAACAGTTGTGATACAACCTACCGCGGGAGGGAGGCAATGGTAGCTGGTGCAGGAGAGGGTGGGTCATCCCAAGCAGGGCTCCCCCTTGTTAACAGGGAAGTCCTACTGCATCATTAATTCTCCCTCACGCCCCAGCCCGACACCAAGCCTTTCTCTAAGGGTCGGCCCTTCATGGGCGACCCCCACCTGCAGGTGCTCCTATCACCCAAATGGAAGCTCCACGTTTAAGTCATTTAGCATGAACAGCGGCCGGAGAAGGCCCAGGTGCCCCCCGCCAGCCCCAGGGAGTCAGCCTAACTCAACACAACAAGGATAAACACTCGTGTGTGTGTGTGGGGGGGGGGGGGAGGAACACAGGGATATAAACCCATGGATTCTTCTACCTGCAGAAACCGCAAATACAAAGACAATATTTCAGTTCAAAATTCACCATAAAAAATCCTAAGGAACAAGAGAGACGCTTGACAAGCCATAGGGTTCCTGTCCCCATCATGGTCACTAGAGATGTTGGCTCGGGGAACTTGACAACATTTTGGTACACTGGTGTAACTCACTCACTCACTCACCTGTTGCCTTTACCGGATCTTTAATATTCTTCTTTAAATCCTTTGGTGGTGATGGCGTGGTGGTTGTTGAGGTTCTGGTGACTAAGGAGGGGGTGTTGGGAGAGGTTCTGGTGGTGAAGGAGGTGGTGGTGGTGGTGGTGGTGGTGGTGGTGGTGGTGGTGGGCTTAGTGCCTTGGTCCCACGTGTTCCGGTCCCACCTGTTCCACCAGCTGGATCTGGGAGCAGGCGCACGATCCCGATTATAATAATAATTATTATATTATATGCACAATGAAATCTCATTAACGTGCTGCATCAATGACACAATCAGTTGGAGCGGTAAGGAGGATTCGAACCTATGCTCAGGGTACTCTCAAGCAAACATCTTGGACAACTACACCACGACATGTAAAAGCATTGCAACCCGAGACTCAACTGAATCCACAAGAGTTTCCGAGGCTTCCAGTGAAGCCGGAAATCAGTGTTTCACACAATGACCCCATTCAGGGTTTCCAGTGAAGCTGGAAAACACTGATTTCCTGCTTCAATGGAAGCCTCAAAAACCCTTGTGGATTCAGTTGAGTCTCGGGTTGCAATGCTTTTACATGTCGTGGTGTAGTTGTCCAAGATGTTTGTTTAGGAGTAACCAGATCATAGGTTCGAATCCTCCTTACGGCTCCTACTGATTTTGTCATTGACACTCACCTGGAGGTGGCGGGGGAGGGGCTCCGGGGTGGTGTTGAGGGGGGGCGGGGTAAGACTCACCTGGTGGGGGAGGGGCTCTGGGGTGGTGGAGGAGGGGGGTAAGACTCACCTGGTGGTGGTGGGGGAGGTGGGGGAGGGGGCTCTGGGGTGGTGTTGAGGGGGTAAGACTCACCTGGTGGTGGTGGGGGAGGGCTCCGGGGTGGTGGAGGAGGGCGGGTCTGTGTACACAGGCTTCACTTGAGTTGACTGGAAGATGAAGTGTTCGCCGGACCTGTCAAATTTGCATCGATTTACATAGATAATTTACGATAGAAACTAATCTTCAAAAATTAACTTAGCATAGTTCGTTATTTGACGCCCTACAATCTGTGTAGGTGATTTAAATTGCCAATTGCCATACCTCCCTATTATCACACCATTAATACACACGATGACTTACATGGTCTATGATACACAAGCTGTGTGATGTGTGAAGGTACCTGGTGTTACCAGGGATGTGCGGTGTAAGGGGGATGCATGGACGCACATCCCGTCTCCCACCATCCTTCCCACTATCGTCAGTTTCATTTACGATCTTCTGGTTTGGCTCTCACCAAATAAGAGTGTAGCTCACACTTACTGAAAGTCAAGGACTTACCGGTTGATGTCGAAGTCAGAGATGGAGTTGCCATTATCAAATATACAGCGGCCGTTGCTGCAGATCTTGCCGCTGCCACAGTCGGAGCCCTCGGCCGCGGGGCGGTACGACACGCAGTACCCGCTTGAAGAGTCGAAGCAGAAGAGCTGGGCACACACTCTGTCGTCTTTCTGTTGGAGGAGTGTGAGAGGACGGTGGTATGAGGCTGAGTGCCTGTGTTTGGGGGTCCATGGGGGGTAGAGGGGGTGTACAAGTGCGCGCGTGTGTATATACTAACCTATATCACACACAGAGATCACACTAACGTGATGCATCAAGTGAACAAATTCACAAGGGCCGTGACGAGGATTCGAACCTGCGTCCGGGAGCATCCCAGACACTGCCTTAATCGACTGAGCTACGACATGGTCAAAAGAATTGCAACCGGGAAATCAACTTGACTTACCACTGATCATAGAGTCTCTCCGAGACACAAACCAGGGTTTTCCATTTTTAGGATGTACTCAAACACAGTACATAGTTTACATGTACTCAAACAGCCCCCTCGGGGCAAAATTTAAAAACATTTAAACAGTACACAGTGATTACAGGTTATTAGTCATATTTCGTGGTCATTTCTCTCAATGTCTGCACCGTCCTCGATGAAAACAAGGTCTAGTCTGAAGAAATCCACAAGGGCAGTGACGAGGATTCGAACCTGCGTCTGGGAGCATTCCAGACACTGCCACTGTTGGTTCGAATCCTCGTCACTGCCCTTGTGGATTTGTTCATTTGATGCATCACGTTAGTGTGATCTGTGTGTGTGTAAGGTCTAGTCTGGTTAGCCTTTCCTCTTATCTTCCTCGTGTCTCCCTTCCCATCATCTCTCCCCTCCTCCACACATTCGACATGTCCCCCTTTCCCGCCCTCCTCTCTTCCCCACCATCTCCCACTTCCCTCCCCCTGCTCCTTACTCCTTTCCGTCTCCCTTTTCTAACCCCATCACCCTACCCTCCCCCCCCTCTCCCTTTCCCCCCCTCTCCCTTCCCCCCCCCTCTCCCTGCTTTTCTCCACTTCTCTTCCTCTTGTCTTGGCTGTGTGACCTCCGACCTCGAACAGAGTGATTGATGAAGATTAAGCCGCCCAAGAGGTGACGCGGACATGACAAGCCGGTAACTGGTAGATGTTTGGAGTTGATGTAATATTTAGTCATGAATCGAACACACACACTTCCATTTATATGTATAGACGGGGGTGCTGTGTTGCACCCAGGTCTCTTTACACCCTTACACCTTTTATCCCCAGTCTTCACCCTATCTCCCTCTTTGCCCTCTCGTACCCCTCTCCTTGCTCCCACCTTCACCTCTCCCCTCATCCTGTTCTCTTCCCTCTCCCACTTCTCTCAGAGAATGTAATATTGTGAAGCATTGGAACAGCTCTATGGGTCTATCAGATAATATATTATTGCGCTCACTAAACGCTCTAGGGGGAACACGTCAAATATTTCACACTTGACTGCATGAAACTTGCCGGAGGCCTCTATAAATGATTATATTTCTTGAAGCATTTAACTTAGGCCTACCCCCGGCTAGCCCATGCCTGCCCCATACTCCAGACCATTTACCCTGCAAAGTTGGGCGAGTCTAATCCTAAGAGTGCGGTCTCAAACCTAGACAGACAGACAGACAGACAGAGACATTCTTTCGCTTATATAGACAGACAAGGAGGGGTAGCCAGTGGTGCCTGGGATAGTCTCTCTCTCTCTCACACACCCGTCTCCTTTTCTCCCTTCAACACATCCTCCATCTTCATGTAGATTGAAAGACGTATATGTGAAATAAGAAAATATTTGGTTGAGCGGAGAATTTTTTTTATAATACTTAAAAGAATTAGCTAGTTGTTTAGATGACAGGCAGCGCTGCAGGGCTGGAGACATAAGAATACCATCTTAACTCTGGACATAACTTCTTGCGCTGCAGGAATAAGATCGGGCTCTTTATATCCGGTTGTGATAAATGCTCGTCGAATATTGTTAGTGTTGTGGCTGTGTACATGTATTTGTCTCAAGATGTTTTACAGCTGTCGTGTCATACATCTCCTTGCGTAGACTGATCCTTGTGAGACTGCACCACATACTGCTATCGTTCATATGTCATTAAATTAATCTATCGTCGCAAATGTATTACTCAAAGGTCATTCAACAGTGGCAGTTGCGTTTGAATTGGGCGCCTTTTGTCACCGTCGTTGTCAGGAGAGGAAGGAAATGAAGTACTTACGAAACAGGCAGAAGTTCCGCGGTCCTTCTTACACTGGGCGTCAAGAGAGAGCAGCTTGCCTGGCAGCACCCTGGGGAGGGACTCGTCCTCGTGGGGCAGGTTGTAGAGGCAGGTGGCCGTGTCCCCGCTGTCAGGGTGAGGCACGTGTGTTTACACAGCGGTTATGAGGTACAACTTCACGTGATGGAGGTGTGTTTACAATAACAAGAGCGGTTATGAGGTACAACTTCACGGAACAAAGTGTCACTTACAGGTGACTGTATACAGTGTTCCTTGCTAATCCTCACTGGAGCGAGGAGGAGTATTGCCGCACAAATTAACAATTTGTGCACAAATCCTAGTCACACACCCAGAAATTAAAGATTAATGTAGAGTATAGTTTTAGTTACAATTCGTTCATTCAAAGGGATACAGATGTTGGTACAAATTGAAATTTAAGACAATTCTAGCAGCGAGATTTAGCTTAATGTGCACTATGAATTTCGAAGAATATAGAATATAGTAAGCTGTTAACTTGGGTTGGCAATAGATTAAGCTTTGTATGCATATTATGCATTCCTGTCTTGAGAAACTGACTTCATAAGAAGAACAATCCTATTTATTGCACGCATTTATACATTTAATATTTTCCTTGTTAGACCACTTTATTAAATATAAAATATATGTACTTTCTGAGTGTGTTCCAGCCTGGGTGAGAACTTTACCTACCTCCAGCCACACAAAATTACCAACTGTTCACTACATGAAATATTGAATAAATTAACTGTAGTCATCATGGTCTGAACACCTGACCTTCAACACTTAACAAAATGTATAGGCACATATTATTATGTAACTTTCTACACAACGGACACCTTGTAGTTTGGTTAAAGTTAAGAACAAATACATGTACAGTAATTTATTAACATCTTATAACTATGTTGACCAGACCACACTAGAAGGTGAAGGGACGACGACGTTGACCATTCATTGGACCATTCTCAATGGACTTGAGAATGGTCCAGGACGGACCGAAACGTCGTCGTCCCTTCACCTTCTAGTGTGTGGTCTGATCAACATACTTCAGCCTCGTTATTGTGACTCATCGCCAGCATCTTATAACTATTATAATTACCACTACTATCCTATATATTTTGCATATAAAACACCAATATTAATGTATAGTACAATATACTAATTATAGTCATTAATAATTATTACCATATAATATTAAATAGTATTTTCCTGTATTATTAGCATCACTACTTTGATTATTGCTACTATTATTAGTTACATGAAGATCACTCACTTGAGGAAGTGGTGGAACTGCTCGACTGAGCACGGGGACCATCTGAAGCCCTTCTCGGTGTGTCTCAGGTCACTCATGATGAAACCGTCCTCCCACCTGCACCTGCGGGCCCCGGGACCCCCCAGGTACGAGGGGGGCGGCGACCCGTCGTGGACAGCACCCAGCCTGTGGACACACACACACACATGGGGGTCAGGTCTTGGCCAACACTGTGTGCTCTACTACACGTGGCACTCCTCTTAGGCACTCCTTTCGCGTGTGTGTTGTGTGTGTTGTGTGTGTGTGTGTGTGTGTGTGTGTGTGTGTGTGTGTGTGTGTGTGTGTGTGTGTGTGTGTGTGTGTGTGTGTGTGTGTGTGTGTGTGTGTGTGTGTGTTTACTAGTTGTGTTTTTTGCGGGGGTTGAGCTTTGCTCTTTCGGCCCGCCTCTCAACTGTCAATCAACTGTTTACTAACTACTTCTTTTTTTTTTTTTTTTTTTTTTTTTTTCCCACACACCACACACACACCCCAGGAAGCAGCCCGTGACAGCTGACTAACTCCCAGGTACCTATTTACTGCTAGGTAACAGGGGCACTTAGGGTGAAAGAAACTTTGCCCATTTGTTTCTGCCTCGTGCGGGAATCGAACCCGCGCCACAGAATTACGAATCCTGCGCGCTATCCACCAGGCTACGAGGCCCCTTAAGTGTGTGTGTGTGTGTGTGTGTGTGTGTGTGTGTGTGTGTGTGTGTGTGTGTGTGTGTGTGTGTGTGTGTGTGTGTGTGTTGTGTGTGTGTGTGTTGTGTGTGTGTGTTGTGTATGTGTTGTGTATGTGTTGTGTATGTGTTGTGTATGTGTTGTGTATGTGTGTACTCACCTAGTTGTGCTTGCGGGGATTGAGCTCTGGTTCTTTGGTCCCGCCTCTCAAATTACTTTTTTTCACCCCCCCCCCAGGAAGCAGCCCGTAGCAGCTGCCTAACTCCCAGGTACCTTTTTACTGCAAGGTGAACAGGTGCATCAGGGTGAAAGAAACTGCCCATTTGTTTCCAACTCTGCCGGGGATCGAACCCAGAACCTTAGGACTACGAATCCCGAGCGCTGTCCACTAAGCCGTCAGGCCCCAGTTAAATGCATTTTATAAGTTAATTCGTGACAGGTGAAAATAACAAGCTACATCAAGGTGAAAATCAGAGGCGGCGGCAGTGGGAGAGGTGGGGAAGGTGGGGAGGGAGGTGGGGAGGGAAGGGTGGGGAGGGAAGGGTGGGGAGGGAAGGGTGGAGAGGGAAGGTGGAGAGGGAGAGAGGGAGGGAAGGGTGGGGAGGGAAGGGTGGAGAGGGAAGGTGGAGAGGGAGAGAGGGTGGAGAGGGAGAGAGGGAGGGAAGGTAGAGAGGGAAGGGGCGGGTGGAGAGGGAAGGTGGAGAGGGAGAGAGGGAGGGAAGGTAGAGAGGGAAGGGGCGGGTGGAGAGGGAAGGTGGAGTACTCACAGGTGGCCAACTTCGTGAGCGGCGACAATGATGCCGGAGAAGCCGCCCGTGTCCTCCACTATGGCTACAGAGTTCACCTTCTGGAGTCGCTTGTTCACCACACACGCGCCGCCGACATACGCGAACCCTGACCCCGTACACAGCACAGTCACACAACAATAACAATTAACAAATAAACATGATAATAAACGAACAGCAGCAAAGAAATGTTCAGGAACGAGTTTATCGCATGAAGGCACAGGTGAACTCTGGTCTTGAAACACCCAGTGAGTATTAATGTCTTATTTAATATTATAAGTCATTAAACACTTTATACTTACTAACAAAATTAAACAAAAAACTCAAAAATATATTTCAGAACGTTTCACACAAACACCAAATTATAAGTGTGACGTTTCAGATTATAAAGTGACTTTGATGTGTGTTAATATCTTTATGCTTAGTTACATCGAAGATAAAGCCGCTGTCATTATTGTGGGATACGAACGTGGGTTGTAATGTTTAGCTCTGGAAGAGCTCAGAGCTGTTTAGCCGCCACAACTCCCAAGGAGTTAGGGTGATCACAGTGCACATTACAAGGAACGTTGACAATAACAACTTATTTAGAACATAGTAAAATGCAAGAATAACACTAGACCCTTTAAGATTTGTTTATATATATTATATTTGTATTTAATTATAGAGGGTAATGAAAGTTACAGGAAGCATGAAGGGTGAGGCAGCTCTCACCCACCGGTGTGGCTTAATATATCTCCAAGGTTGTGGTCCTGTATTGCCAAGGGTGTGACTATATCACCAAGGGTGTGACTATATCACCAAGGGTGTGACTATATCACCAAGGGTGTGGCCCTATATCACCAAGGGTGTGACTGTATCACCAAGGGTGTGACTATATCACCAAGGGTGTGACTATATCACCAAGGGTGTGGCCCTATATCACCAAGGGTGTGACTATATCACCAAGGGTGTGGCCCTATATCACCAAGGGTGTGGCCCTATATCACCAAGGGTGTGACTATATCACCAAGGGTGTGGCCCTATATCACCAAGGGTGTGACTATATCACCAAGGGTGTGGCCCTATATCACCAAGGGTGTGACTATATCACCAAGGGTGTGGCCCTATATCACCAAGGGTGTGACTATATCACCAAGGGTGTGGCCCTATATCACCAAGGGTGTGACTATATCACCAAGGGTGTGGCCCTATATCACCAAGGGTGTGACTATATCACCAAGGGTGTGGCCCTATATCACCAAGGGTGTGGCCCTATATCACCAAGGGTGTGGCCCTATATCACCAAGGGTGTGGCCCTATATCACCAAGGGTGTGGCCCTATATCACCAAGGGTGTGACTATATCACCAAGGGTGTGGCCCTATATCACCAAGGGTGTGACTATATCACCAAGGGTGTGGCCCTATATCACCAAGGGTGTGACTATATCACCAAGGGTGTGGCCCTATATCACCAAGGGTGTGACTATATCACCAAGGGTGTGGCCCTATATCACCAAGGGTGTGACTATATCACCAAGGGTGTGGCCCTATATCACCAAGGGTGTGGCCCTATATCACCAAGGGTGTGGCCCTATATCACCAAGGGTGTGACTATATCACCAAGGGTGTGGCCCTATATCACCAAGGGTGTGACTATATCACCAAGGGTGTGGCCCTATATCACCAAGGGTGTGACTATATCACCAAGGGTGTGGCCCTATATCACCAAGGGTGTGACTATATCACCAAGGGTGTGGCCCTATATCACCAAGGGTGTGGCCCTATATCACCAAGGGTGGGGCCCTATATCACCAAGGGTGTGACTATATCACCAAGGGTGTGGCCCTATATCACCAAGGGTGTGTGGCCCTATATCACCAAGGGTGTGACTATATCACCAAGGGTGTGGCCCTATATCACCAAGGGTGTGACTATATCACCAAGGGTGTGGCCCTATATCACCAAGGGTGTGGCCCTATATCACCAAGGGTGGGGCCCTATATCACCAAGATACAGTCTGACGAGCCACATTACAAAAAATGTGTCGCCCTGTCATTTATCTTGGAGCTCTTCTTAACATAGGCTATTGTCTTGGAGCTCTTCTTAGCATAGGCTATTGTCTTGGAGCTCTTCTTAGCATAGGCTATTGTCTTGGAGCTCTTCTTAGCATAGGCTATTGTCTTGGAGCTCTTCTTAGCATAAGCTATTGTCTTGGAGCTCTTCTTAGCATAGGCTATTGTCTTGGAGCTCTTCTTAGCATAGGCTATTGTCTTGGAGCTCTTCTTAGCATAGGCTATTGTCTTGGAGCTCTAGTTAACATGGACTATTTAAAACATTCCCAAACATTTATGATTTTATGAATTCTCGACAGTAAAGAATAAAGTTCCTTCCTGAACAAAGAATTAACTGGAACGTGTTGGGCGTTCTGGCTGGTACAAGATACATTAGCGCGGATTATATTGAGATTTATCACACTTAGGGAATTAAAGGTAATTATATATATATATATATATATATATATATATATATATATATATATATATATATATATATATATATATATATATAAACATAAACAAGTGGTCACCCTTCATACATCCTCGTAATAAGATATAATTTATAATTTTCTCAGTGTTGTAGGCTTACCACACACTAGGCTCTCTCAAGTGTCTATTAACATACCAAATACGAACATATTAAAAGTGTGTGTTTGTGTGTGTGGTAAACAGACACCTGAGAACCAATTACTGTACTACAAAAAGGGAAGAAATCCACAGACAAATTACAGCTTAAAAATACAATTTAATAATCAGAATATTCTTTAAACAAGAAATTGGTGTGTATATTTGTTATATATTTAACTTGTAAGACAGTGTGTGCACAACTCATGCAACATGCACAATACAACGTTCATACACATGCAACAGTGATAGGATTAATAAAGAGAGATATGGAGAGAGAAAGAAATAAAGACAGGAGGATCTTAGTGAAATAATTTAGTGGATTTTCAATAGGAAGAGTTGTAGCCTGTCTTTACCCTGGTAAGTGACTTCTCTTATTGACTAGTGACATGAGATTCTTGCCGATACAGTAGTGACTATCAAAAGGAGGCACTAGGCTGGGGAGACTATTTAACACTTGCTGATAAAGGCTCACTGTATTCTAGCTTTGTGTTGATACAGAGAGAATAAACATGGCCTGAGGACAGGTTGCCTGTAAACCATTTTTCACTCATAAATGGGACTTTTGGTGGCTGGGTTAACGAGCATTTGGCCTTTGTTGATGAGGCCCGGAAACCCGAAACGCTGTGTGTGTTAGTTAGTGGCTTGCAAGAATGTTACAACCCCAGATGTATGTAGTCTCTCATCCCAATGTTCCTTCTTGTATAGAAATCAATAAATCAGTAAGGCCGGGCTGCTGCATAAGTAAAGACAATTGTATTAGGTTGGATAGTTCCAGTATTTTGAATGACGGCGAAGCTTTCGTGTAAGTTTGTGTTATTTTGTTAATCTCTGTATTAATTATAGTTTTAGTAAGTTAGGTTTTAAAGCGGACGATAAACGAGTTGTTTTAAAGCAATCGTAAAAGAAAGGTAAAGGAAGAGATGGACAACTGTTGTAAAACAGATGCAACGAATTATATATATTATATATATATATATATATATATATATATATATATATATATATATATATATATATATAGAGCTAAAGAAAAGTCATAAAATGTATAAAGATCCCGAAGAGAGAAGGACAGATGAGGAAGGGTGAAGCAACACGCCAGACGGTGCAGGACACACACACACACACACACACTGCTGCTCGAGTTACCATTGCTCGTCTGACCATCAACATGGAAAACCTTGAGTAAGACAACTCTGCACAAGACAAACAGTTTTGAAGGCAACTTTCCAGGTGTTGTATCATGAGACGCCACCAAATGACACCAATATGTGTTACATACAAATTTCTACACAGAAATTCCAGTTATTGACTGTTCATGACCAAATGGGTGACAGCCTCGCCAGGGTGTCTATCAGTTGTTCAGGTGTTCTCACTACCTGGCCAGCGAGCAACGGGGATTTCGCGAGATCTGACAATCATGCAGGGGAGAGGGGTCTGGTCGCACCGCTTGGGCATCGCTCTGTGCTCTAAACTGCTCGTTCAACATTCAATCTTCGCAAAAAAATGTAATTATCAGGAAAACTGCAGTAAGCCATTACGATAATATAACATTTGGAAGGGATAAGGATTTAGGATAGGACGAAGGGAAGGAATGGTTCGCAACCACTTGGATGGTCGGGGATTGAACGCCGCAAGAAGCGAGACTGTTGCTTTACCGTCAGATCCAAGTGGTCGGGATGAGGCTTTGCAAGTACGTCAGTAACGTTTCTCTACAACACAGCGAATGCAGAGAATAAAGACTAAAAAAGCCTGGTGAAATCTTGGTGATGTTTAGCAGTGAGGCAGACACACACAAGCGGCGCCAGCGACCCTCTCTCCTGGCAACAGTGTCACCCACACACACACACATGCCGCAGGAGACGCGGCGTACACATACACATGCCGCAGGAGAGGCGGCGTACACACACATGCCGCAGGAGACGCGGCGTACACATACACATGCCGCAGGAGAGGCGGCGTACACACACATGCCGCAGGAGAGGCGGCGTACACACACACACATGCCGCAGGAGAGGCGGCGTACACACACACACATGCCGCAGGAGAGGCGGCGTACACACACACACATGCCGCAGGAGACGCGGCGTACACACACACACACACACACACACACACACACACACACACACACACACACACACACACACACACACACACACACACACACACACACACACTACCCAGTCCGCCAGCCGCCAGCTGGTGCCTCAGACCGCAGGACCAGAGTCATGCAGGTGCCGATGGAGTGGAAGTTGGAGGTGGAGGCTTACCTTGGCTAGTCAGCTCCGTCCAAGGGCAGCGGTGAGAGAGAGAAAGAGAAATCAAACAAGTGTCAACATTTGGTCTGTCCGTCTACATGCCTCTTTTCTTCCGTCTTTTATCAGGAACCGTCCATGGAAAGCTCATGAAAATATTATGGACTTAGTTTTTGTAATAATTTGCTGTAAAACTAAGTAAAATAAAGATGTCAAGTACTATTAGGAAGTTTGATGTCCAGTGCGCGCTATTTTGTGGTCGGCTCAAAATGATCTTTAAGCTAAAGTTAATTAAAAATGTTGATAATCATATATGATTAACTACAGACAAGTCATAAGATGGTATTGTAATGACTCGGATACGCTGTCTTCTCTCTCTGAAGGCTGTGGGATTTTGTTTTTAATTTTAGCTTATTTTATTATTACTTAATTTCCGATCGAGTCGACGTGTCTATGAGCAGTAAAAGCTGGTTCCCATTACCTCACACAGACACACCCACGCTAACACCGGAAACTCCAGTCAAGTACACGAATGGAAGTCAAAGTGCGCAAGTCCCAACACCTTGAAGTAAAGTCACAGAGGAAGTGGGAAGTGCGTCTGGATAAGTGCGTCAAGAGGAGGCACGTCTCGCTACATATACAGAGCTCCACATCAAGGGTACCCGAGTGCATAAAGACAGGTCAAGAGTGAAGACAATGTCCAGCAAGAAACTTGGTAGAGGAAAGTCAGAGAGAGAGATGTGCAAGAACATCAGACATACTGGTGGGTGTCTCATAAGCGGTAGGCTCAAAGTCGGGTAATGATATGGGTCAGGCACAGACAGACTGCACGAGATGGCCGGGACCACACTCAATACTTTGGTCTTGTGGAAGGTCAGTAAAAAGTCACAATAGGGTCAGGCCGTAGTGTGATGACGGTGTTTTGTTATGGTGGTAAGGGAGCGTAGTGTCTTGGCCGCAGTTGCTTGTGGTGACAGTAGTTAGTGAGGTGGTTGTGATGGTAAGGGTTGTTAGTCGCAGTGACTAAAATTATGACAATTTTGATGGTGATGATTTTGATAAGAATATTTTTTTTTTGTATACAGGACATCTTGGGTGGGTCTTTATCAAGAGCCGGGGCTAGATTCACGAAGCAGTTACGCAAGCACTTACGAACCTGTACATCTTTTCTCAATCCTTGGCGGCTTTGTTTACAATTATTAAACAGTTAATGAGCTCCGAAGCACCAGGAGGCTGTTTATAACAATAACAACAGTTGATTGGCAAGTTTTCATGCTTGTAAACTGTTTAATAAATGTAACCAAAGCCGTCAATGATTGAGGAAAGATGTACACGTTCGTAAGTGCTTGCGTAACTGCTTCGTGAATCTGGCCCCAGGCCTCTCAGTGTGGCCCTGACCACCAGGTCCACAGTGTGTGGCCCTGACCACCAGGTCCACAGTGTGTGGCCCTGACCACCAGGTCCACAGTGTGTGGCCCTGACCACCAGGTCCAGTGTAGGATGGTTGCATGGGATATAGTGAGGATGGGTGTATAAGATATAGTGAGGATGGGTGTATAAGATATAGTGAGGATGGGTGTATAAGAGTTATAGTGAGGATGGGTGTATAAGAGATGGTTCAGGTCATGTGTAGTATTGGTTGCTCAAAAGTTGTCACATGTGGACTACTGAAGTGGACAGTACTACTCAAAGTGTAGATTTATTTGTATACAATACTATATTAGTATGATGAGAGGTGACAGTGATTGGTGCATGGGGATGGTGCAATAATTACACACTAAACTATAAAGCTTGGTTTTCAATAACAACTAAACAATTGTCTGATATTTTATGATAGATCATGCTTAAATAAATTACAAATACTATGCAGTTAATTGATTTGTGTTTCAATTGATTTTTATTTACAACAGTAAGAATATATTACTAATGTATGAATGCTTAGGTAAAAACTTTATTATTTACTTTACGAATTAATCTATCTGCTTAGCCATATAAGCCTATTCTTGAGTGATGCAGTACACTTACCACCACCACAACACCTCGCACTCCATACTTGTTATTGCTTTGACAATTCTTAAGTATTAAGCAGACAAAATGAGTATTTTGTGACACTATAATAAAGTTTGGAGTGGTGGTGTTGGTGGTGGTGGTGATGGTGGTGGTGATGATGGTGCAGGTGGTGGTGGTGGTGGTGCTGTGGTCAGTCCCCTTCAACCTACCTGCTGTCCCCCTGTTGCAAACCCCCCCTGTGAATGCGCGTCTACACATGTCTAATCTGCAAGTAAAAAAAGTCAGTTTCATTTAGTTTCGTTGGAAGTAGTTTTAACGGTGGGTCATCGCTAGTGCCGCCGCTGCTGTTGGCAACACTGAAGTCTATCTGATGACGTCACAGATGGCGGTGACGTCAGTGTTGGTGTTGACGTCACAACATGGGCGGCTGTTAAAAGCTGGGCTGTTGAGGGAGAAACGTTAGCCAAGGTCTTT